AAAATTTAAAAAACTCGAATATTTAACATTTTTGTATGTGTTAATACACATATCTCGATGAGAAGATTAAAAAAAATCCAAAATTTTAACATTTTCTTGTGTGTGTGTTAATACATATATTTGACAAGAAAATAAAATAATTAGTTTTGCAAACTTAAAGGTGAAAATTCCCTGAAAGAAACTCGATAATTTAATATTTTCTTGTGTGTGTTAATATACATATCTTGACAAGAAAATTAAAACAAAATTCGAAAATTTAATGTGTGTGTGTGTTAATACATATATCTTGACAAGGGAATAAAAGAATTTGTCTAGCAAACTTGAAGGGGGAAATTTCCTGAAAGAAACCGAAAATTTAATATTTTTTGTGTGTATGTCAATACACATATATTGACAAGAAAATTAAAAAAAAAAACTAAAAATTTGACATTTTCTTGTGTGTGATTTAATGCACATATCTTGACAAGAAAATTAAAAAAAAATCGAAAATTTGACATTTTATTGTGTGTATTAATACACACATCTAGACAAGATAATTTTAAAAAACTCAAAAATTTAGCATTTTCTTGTGTGTGTGTTAGTACACACATCTTGGCAAGAAAATTAAAAAAACTCAAAAATTTAACATTTGTGTGTGTGTGTTAATACACATATCTTAAGAAAAAATTAAATAAAACTCGAAAAATAATATTTTCTTGTGTGTGTGATAATACACACATCTTGGCGTGAAAAATAAAAAACACGCGAATTTAACAATTTTTGTTTGTGTGTTAATACACACATCTTGACAAGAAAATTAAAAAAAAACTTAAAAATTTAACAATTTCTTTTGTGTGTGTTAATACACACATCTTGGCAAGAAAATTAAAATACTTAAAATTTAACATTTTTTGTGTGTGTTAGTACACATATATTGACAAGAAATTAAGAAAACTCAAAAATTTAATATTTTCTTGTTTGTGTGTTAATACACACATCTTTGAAAGAAAAATTAAAAAACTCAAAAAATTTAACATATTTCGTGTGTGAGTTAGTACACATATCTTGATAAAAAAATTATAAAACAACTCGAAAATATAACATTTCTTGTGTGTTTGTTAATATACACATCTTGGCAAAAAAAACTAAAAAACTCGCAAAGTTAACATTTTTTTGTGTGTTAGTACACATGTCTTGACTATAAATTTTAAAAACTCGGAAATTTAACATTTTCTTGTGTGTGTCAATACACACATCTTGGCAAAAAAATTAAAAAAACACAAAAAATTAATATTTTTTTGTGTGTGTGTTTGTTGACAAGAAAAATTAAAAAAAACTCGAAAACATAACATTTTTTGTGTGTATTAATACACACATCTCGGCAAGAAAAATTAAAAAACCAGAAAGTTTAACATTTTTTGTGTTTGTGTTAATACACATATCTTGACTAGAAAACTAAAACAAAAACTCAAAAATTTAACATTTTCTTGTTTGTGTGTTAATAAACACATCTTTGCAAAAAAAATTAAAAAAACTCAAAAATTTAATATTTTTGTATGTGTGTTTTAGCACACATATCTTGACATTAAAAGTTTAAAAAAAAATTGGAAATTTAACATTTTCTTGTGTGTGTATGTTAATACACAAATATTGGTAAGAAAATTTTAAAAAAAAAATTCAAAAAATTAACATTTCCTTGTGTGTGTGTTAATACGCACATCTTGCAAGAAAATTAAAAGAAATCGAAAATTTAACATTTTCTTGTGTGTATTAATACACACATCTGGACAAAAAAATTTTAAAAAACTCAATGATTTAGCATTTTCTTGTGTGTGTGTTAATACACATATCTTGGTAAGAAAATTAAAATACTCACAAATTTAACATTTGTGTGTGTGTGTGTGTGTGTGTGTGTGTGTGTGTGTGTGTGTGTGTGTGTTAATACACATATCTTAAGAAGAAATTAAATAAAACTCAAAAAAATAACATTTTCTTGTGTGTGTGTGTTAATACACACATCTTGGCATGAGAAATTAAAAAATTCGCAAATTTAACATTTTTTGTGTGTGTGTTAATACACATATCTTGACAAGAAAATTAAAAAAAAAAACTTAAAAATTTAACAATTTCTTGTGTGTGTTAATATACACATTTTGGTAAGAAAATTAAAATACTTGAAATTTAACATTTTTTGTGTGTTAGTTCACATATATTGACAAGAAAATTAAGAAAATATTTTCTTCTTTGTGTGTTAATACACACATCTTTGCAAGAAAAATTAAAAAACTTGCAAATTTAACATTTTTTGGTTGTGCGTTAATACATATATCTTGACAAGAAAATTTAAAAACTCCAAAATTTAACATTTTTTTGTCTATGTGTGTGTGTTAATACACACATCTTGACAAGAAAATAAAAAAATTAGTCCTGAATACTTAAAAAGAAAAAATTCCCTGAATGAAACTCTAAAATTAAACATTCTGTGTATGTGTGTTAATACACATATCTTGGCAAGAAAATTAAAAAACTCCAAAATTAAACCTATTTTGTGTGTGAGTTAGTACACATATTTTGGGAAGAAAATTAAAAAAAAAACTCGAAAATATAACATTTCTTGTGTTTGTTAATATATACATCTTGGCAAGAAAAACTAAAAAAAACTCGCAAAGAAAACATTTTTTTGTGTGTTAATATACATGTCGTGACTATAAATCTTAAAAACTTGGAAATTTAACATTTTCTTGTGTGTGTGTTAATACACACATCTTGGCAAGAAAATTAAAAAACTCAAAATTTTAACATTTTTTGTGTGTGTGTTTCTTGAGAAGAAAATTAAAAAAAAAACTAGAAAACATAACATTTTCTTGTGTGTGTGTTTGACGAGCCGTTTATCATTACGATAGGTGTCAAGTGGAAGTGCAGTGATGTATGCAGTTGAGGCATCCTAACAGACCGGTAGATACAAACATCTCGGCAAGAAAAATTAAAAAAAACTAGCAAGTTTAACTTTTTTTTTTTGTGAATATACATATCTTGACAAGAAAATTTAAAAACTCCGAAATTTAACATTTTCTTGTGTGTGTGTTAATACACACATCTTGATAAGAAAATAAATAAAAATTGTCCTGCAAACTTAAGAAGGACAAATTAATAGAAAAAACTCTAAAATTTAACATTTTCTTATGTGTGTGTTAATACACACATCTTGAGAAAAAAATTAAAATACTTGAAATTTAAAATTTTTTTGTTACTGTGTTAGTTACACATATCTTGACAAGAAAATTAAGAAAACTCAAAAATTTAACATTTTCTTGTGTGTGTGTGTTAATAATATACACCTCTTGACAAGAAAATTAAAATAGTCAAATTTTAATATTTTGTGTGTGTGTGTGTGTGTGTGTGTGTGTGTGTGTGTGTGTGTGTGTGTGTATGTGTGTGTGTGTGTGTTAGTACACATATCCTGACAAGAAAATGAAGAAAACTCAAAAATTTAACATTTTCTTGTATGTGTGTTAATACACATATCTTGACAAAAAAAATTAAAAAACTCGCAATTTTAACATTTTTGTGTGTGGGTTAATACACATATCTTTACAAGAAAAGTTAAAAACTCAAAACTTTAACATTTTCTTGTGTGTATTAATACACACATCTTGGCAAGAAAATTAAAAATTTGAAAAATTTATCATTTTGTTGTATGTGTGTGTGTGTGTTTGTGTGTGTGTGCGTGCGTGCGTGCGTGCGTGTGTGTGTGCGTGCGTGCGTGCATGCATAAGTGCGTTCTTGCATGCGTGCGTGCACGTGCGTAAGTGCGTTCTTGTGTGCGTGCGCGCGCGTACGTAAGTGTGTGTTTGCATGTGTGCGTGCGTACGTGTGTGTGTCTGTGTATGTGTCTATGTGTCTATGTGTCTGTGTGTCTGTGTCTGTGTGTGTGTAACATTTTCTTGTCTGTGTGTTAATACACAGATCTTGACAAGAAAATTTTTAAAAAAAAACTCAAAACTTTAACATTTTCTTGTATGTTGTGTGTGTTAATACACACATCTGCACACAAAAATTTCAAATATTCAAAAATGTTTGTGTATTCAAAAATTTCAAATATTCAAAAATTTAACATTTTTTTGTGTGTGTGTTAATACACATACCTTGATAAGAAAATAAAATAATTAGTCGTGCAAACTTAAGGGTAAAAATTCCCTGAAAAAAATTCGAAAATTTAACATTTTCTTGTGTGTGTTTTAATACACATATCTCGACAAAAAAAAAAATTAGTCCGCAAACTTAAGCGGAAAAGTTCCCTGAAAGAAACTTGAAAATTTAACATTTTCTTGTGTGTAATAATACACATATCTTGACAAGAAAATATAAGAATTAGTCATGCAAACATAAGGGGGAAAATTCCCTCAAATAAACTTGAGAATTTAACAGTTTCTTGTGTGTATGTTAATACACATATCTTGACCCAAAAAAAGCTAGTCCTGCATCTTGAGGGGAAAAAATCCCTGAAAGGAACTCGAAAATTTAACATTTTCTTGTGTTTGAGTTAATATACATATCTTGATAAAAAAAATAAAAGAATTAGTTCTGCAAACTTAAGGGAAAAAAAATCCCTGAAAGAAACTCAAAAGTTTAACATTTCTTGTGTGTGTGTGTTAATACACATATTATGACAACAAAAATAAAAGAACTAGTCCTACAAACTTGAGGGGAAAAATTCTCTGAAATAAACTCGAAAATTCAATATTTTCTTGTATGTGTTAATATACATATCGTGACAAGAAAATAAAAGAATTATTCATGTAAACTTAAGCGGAAAAATTCTCTGAAAGTCGAAAATTTAACATTTTCTTTGTGTGTGTCTTGACAAGATAATAGAAGACTTAATCTTGCAGACTTAAAGGGGAAAATTTCCTTCTTTCGGAAATTTAACAAGTTCTTGTCTTCTTGATCATAGCCGCGGGTAAAATTGTATTTTATGAGATTGACAAATCCAATTATCCAATGGTTGTATATATACTGAACTGGATTTTTAATATCTAATTACCTTTAGAAATGAATGAAATTTCATACAAACTCGAAATGCAGAAATCTATTACTCTATTTCTGTAAAATATAAGTGTTATTAGTGTTACAATCTATGAAAACAAGTCGCAAAATAGTCATAAATATCTCTCATTCCATCAATTCCCGACGCCCAATGACCTAACCGTCGTTGGATCGGATTCAAAGAACCACGGAATAGGCAACGTCGTTGGATAAACTCCGGTTAGCTTCAAATTGGAAACTCAAAATTAAAACTCACTTGCCCTAATCAAATTAATTAGTAATTACAAGTCATGATCACTTGCCATATATACACACAAATCACACGACCGTTACAGCGGCAGTACGGCCCATCCCGGCCGACAAACCACCTAACAGACCATCATAGTTCAACATAGAAACCCTAGGCTTCACCGCCGGCACCCAGTTCTCCGGCTCCGTCGTCTCCGAAACCGCTTCTTCCAAGGAGTTCGATCTATCGCACGTGCCAAGCCACTTGGCCTGCATGTACTTGTGTTTTCTCCAAGGACCCATGTGCATTTTCTTGTCTCTCAAGCATTTCTTCCCCGCGATGCACAATATCTTGATCAGTGATCGAAGCCTCTCTGTTTTTCCGACGTAGACCTCCGGCAACCGGCCGATTAGTCTCTTGTACTCTTCCCCTCCTTTTGCAATCTCGAACTCTGCCCTAAACGATAACTCTATCACCACTCGCATCTCGCCTTTCTTCGAACAAGATCTGTCCACAATCTCTATGTATTCGTGTTCCCCTGCAGGGATGTCTCGAGAGCTTCTCCACTTGGATTTGGAGATGACGCAGTTGTAGCCGGCCACATCTCGGAGATGTTGGGAAATTTCGCCACGTAAGCAGCTCCGGCAACCACCGGCCACGGGTCGCCGGCAGACACAATGAAGACCCTTTGATTTAACTTGTTTCAATGCTTCTTTTGTGGCTTGTCTAATTTTTGTCTCAATCGAACTTGTCCTATACAGTGTCCCCTACACGATTCCATAAATCCCAAAACAAATTATATGATTTTGTTTTGATAACGAATAATTCTATTTTGAAAGGAAAGGAAAAAAAAAAAACCTGGAGAAGTTGTTCTTGTTCCTGCCAGAAAACTCTGTTTTCTTCAGAATTGCAATTGCTATTGCTCTCGTTCTCGTCGTCTTCATCTCCGCCGCCGTTGAGATTGCCGGAGTCCGGGAAATCCTCCGGACACTGATTTCCTTCGTCGAGGAAACCGAAGAGAACGTCGTCGGAGCTAGCCATTCCATCGAGAAATCTCATGATGTCATCGGAACTTTGCCGATCCATCGGATTAAGAATTTAAAAAAAGGGAGAGAGGAAACTTTATTTGTTATTCCGTTTAATATTTGTTTCGGTTTGAAGAGAAATAAGAAAATAAGAGAGGAGACATTATATAGTGTGGGCAAGGGGGAGATGGGACCCATCTGAAATCAGAGAAACTGATACAAGGCGCCGCGAAAGGAAGGATTGGTGGTGACGTGTCTTCCTGTGATTGGAGAACGTGTCAGATCTCAGGGATGAATGATTGCTTAAGACAGCTAGTTTCCATGTCAGCATGACTAATCTCGTGAACATAACCGGATATACTCGATAATATTCTAATAATAAAAGATTCCTTCTTTAAAGCACTCAAGGTGATAATGAAAAAAAGACTTTATCAATAAGTTAAAAATGACAAGGAAAAAAAATCCTGATTTAATTCATTTTTGAAAATCGGGAAAAAATCTAAATTTTATGGAAGCTTAAGAAACTTTATTTTCACAATTTTTATGTTCTGTTTTATAATAAATGTGTTTGACTGTGAATGAAGGGATAAAAAAAGACAATGTCATAGTGATGACAAATAAAGAAGAAGACAATGTCATAGTTAAAAAACGTTTCTAAACTGATTTAGTGATGTCAAAATGAGTCAATCCCACACGTTATTAGTTGGAGTCTACTATAATATCATATGTACTCTTATGTGGTTAATCCGGTACCATATGTAGCATAGATGCATAATATCTTTATTAAAAAAAATTGTCATTGAAATTTCTTGATGTCCTGGTTTAATTTATGTATTATATAAAGTATTAAAAATCAAAAAATGTTATAAAAAGAAGAAGAAGCAAACAAACAATGTTAAAAGCTTTCACGTCACATACAAGAAATTGAAAACCGTATATACCCATAACCCATCTAATTAGAGTTTGGACCAGCTAGAAATTATCTTGCTCTTAAATCTTAGGATTTCCAAATCAATTTGTAAAATCTTTTTTGTTTATGTGTTTTGAAGTTAGCCACCTCATCTTGCACAAATTGTCTAAATATAATTATAAAATTTACTAATTTGCACCTAAACTTATTCATTGAATTGTTTATTCCAAAAAAATAAGTTTCTTCTACATTATTTATATTTCAAGTTATTATTATAAAAAACTAAGCTATTTATTTTTGTTTTCATTTTATTATTTACAAGTTTTAAAATAATTTTCAAACCCGTGTATATACACGGATCCTAATCTAGTATATATATATTTATCTGAGAAATTGAAAAAAAAATCAAGAAATTGTCAAATAAAATATCAGATCGTATTTATATTGTGAGTTTGATCAATTTGTAGAACAATAAAAATAATAAAATTGTAGAAGACTGCAATTTTAAGTTTTTTTCCTGTTAGACGTGTGAATAATTAAATACAATTCTCTAAGAAAATTGTTTTTATAAGTTCAAAACTCCAACAGAAAATATATATCTTATAGGACCAGTCTAATTGTAATTTTTTATATTTAATACTCAAAATTTGAATAATACTAACTCATATATATTCGTTATAAAATATTTGTTAAACAATAACCTTCTTATTAAAAAAAAAAAACAAATTCGGTAAATTTAAAAATATAACTACTATCATAAACCAAAAAGTTGAGATCCTTAGAAAAAAACTGTTGAAAAAGTTGATGGTTTGAAATCACCATTTAACCCATCTGTCCTCAGAACCAACCTGCGAATAGCAATAATTCGTTATTTTGTGTTAACTAGAACTATTGCTTTTGGTCAACAAATAACTTCAGTACTTCAGTAATAATTAGTAGTAATCGTGGCAACAAAAATGAAGGGTTGGCTTTGCCAAAAAGACCCGCCAATATATTTGCAGTACGAGATAAATGAGAAAAGATGATAGAGGAATTTTTTTTTTATGATATCACCAAAAATGATCATCCCAGTGATGTCTCTTTCTAATTAATCTCTACCAACTTTTTATTTTATGCTGCGATAAATTGGGCTTTGTTGGCCTATTGGGTGTCACCTTTTACAAACCCAACTCCAGCTTGCTTTTATGCCTGAGGTCCAAACCCTAAGTCGGATCGTTGTTGTTCTTTAAAATCAGTGATGCATCATGCATGCACACTTGAGCGGACTCCACAGTATCTTTTCGCGATCCATTTGCATGTCGTTTTTACGAATTACAAAAGAGGACACAAGCAGTCTTAGATCGAACTAAAAACATGGCTCAATATATATTGTTTGGATCGTAGAGTTTTGAACCGTAAGATCATCGTTTAGAAAATACATAATCGTATTCATGTATCTCCACTCCACCAAAGCATAACCATAACCGTTTTTTTCGTCGAAGATTGTGTGAGTAGCATCAACAAAGTATATAACTGATTGAGAATAAATAATATAATTATATATCTTTATTTTGAATTTTTTTTTTTTTACGGTATGTCTCTAGCAGTGGCGGATCTATAGTATAAGAAGGTGGGGCACATGCTCCATACTGATTTTAAATAAATTCGTATATCTTATTACAATTGTTGATTCGTTGGTTGAGTTGGTCATTGTTACACCGTTTTGTTATTTAAGTGAAGAATTCGGTGCCTATAGTCTGTCTATCTTATATATTTATATATATGTATTTATCTGTTTTTTCTTTTGTTTTTTTTGTATTCTATTATTTTTAGCCATTTTTTATTTTTACAATTTTTTATACTCTTATTTTTGATTAGTTGACATTTTCTGTTTTTTCATATTTTTTATTAAATTTCTTTCTTGCTTAATTCATTTTCCATACAGTATATATTTAATAAATTAATAAAAATAGTTTTCCTATATATAAAATGATGTGATTTGGTTTCAGCTTATAAATTCTAAAACTTTTATATAAAGATTATTTCATTATAATGTAAATCATTTATTTTATTTTTTTCATATTTTTCTTATATGTAGAAAGATTTTTAAATAATTCCAGTTTTCAAAACTCAAAATAAAAATATATTATATCTTTTCTATTTTTATCTTTATTTTAATAAGTTTTTATTTATGTTCCACACAAAAAATATTTCTGGATCCGCCCCTAATCTCTAATATTTTGCCTTAATTATGACCATACTTTTATTTTATTTTTCTAATTGTAGAAGTTACAACTTTATTTGAAAACATGATCTGTTATATATACTTAGGCTCATACCTCTGTATCCTTAGTTTCTAAGGAGAGAAATCTTTTAATCTGATTGATAAATCATTTATCGAAGAAAAAGATTTTGATATCATTATAAAATGATGAGATCTTTGGAGAAGAAATGGAGAACTTTTGTTAATATACAGAAAAAACACGTCATTATTTAAAGGAACCAACCACTATTAGAATACTGATGACAAATTTTTACACTAAAAGAGTTTGAATCCTTCTCTTCGGAAAGTTAAATAATTAAATAAACCGTACAATGATTTCTTTAATAATGGAAAAAGTCACCGACAGTGGTTTTCCTTTTGTCTATGCTGTTTTTTTACTTCTAGATCTCTCTGATATATTTTTTTTTCTGAACTTAAAATAGATCTCTCTGATTGAAACTTTAATACACTTCTTTTGTTGGTAATAGTTTTTTTTTTCATGTGCGAAAGATCTGCGCATAGACCAACAAGATTTCTCGGAAATGGTTCTAACTGGACTGTACACTTTTGGTCTATAACAAGTACTAATAAGTGCATTTAACCGAAATTGCCTTAGTTCTTTAATATGTCCTAATGACTGAAATTCCCTTAGTTCTTTAATATGTCCTAATTGCAACTTACAACAATAACGAAATTGTGATTATTTTTTGTTTTCAAAATAAATGAAGGGAAACGAGAGTAAGCAGTCTGACTTAATTAATGTAAGCAAGTATATAATAAGTTGGATTTTATACTAAATATAACTATTAAGTATTAATGTATAATTATATGTGAGATTCACATGGTTGAACGTTTGTCAAAGAGTAGAGAGAAAAAAAAAACCCACATGACTTGTGAGAAGCTAATGACACTCAACATGTGGTCTGTTTTCCTAAAGACTGATGTTTTTTTTCTTTTCAGTTTTCAATGTTCACTGACATCTACAACTAGTCTTTAATACAATATCATCTTAACATTATATATAGTCAAAAGCTTTTTAACTTTTAATTATATACCCCATAATATTATCTGTGATCCTATGGTTTTTATTAGTAGTAAATTTAATTAAAAAAAAAAAAGCAAAAGAAGAAGAGAAATTTAAGTCCATTGTGTGGTTGTGTGTTTGTTCAAATTTGGGTTAATAGTAGTTTAATGAAACCAACATCTTACCGCAAAAGCCCCTCCAAAATTGACGCCTGGATTGTCCAACACAGACAGACATCAAAGTGCGTGACATCTGATTCTTACTTGCTTCTTCTCATTCTTTGTCAATTGTCACACCTCTCTCTCTTCTTTCCCGAACAAACCCATTCCATTGTCTCTTCTACGAATGTACTTTGTCCATTTGTGAATGATAGATCCTCTTCACCTCTTGGTATTGCCTCTGGAACTTGATGTTCCCGAAGCGAGTCGGCGTGTTCTAAGGTTACTTTGTCGGCGCAGAGTGATCGAGAGAGAGATCTTGCAATGTGGGCTTTAATCAATTTCGCATTTTTTGGGATCAAAGCGTAAAGGGGGAGTTTTTCATCCTGAGTGCTTGTTGTTTGTTTTCAATTTTAAAATTTACATAAAGACAGAGAGAGAGAGAGAGAGATCTATCTTTATATCTGGGTTTCAATCAAAGCTGAGATTTTGTCCGAAACGTGGACACATTGATCTTCTCCAAAGGGCGTGCTTGCATTTCTCTCAAATCGGCGAGGAAACTGGCGAAATTACAAGCGACCGTCGAGCATCAGAAGCTAACAGCGGCGAGAAGGAGCATGGCTCCCACAGGGAACGGGCCATCGATACCGATTCTAGGGTTCCTGACATGTGTGGCGTTTATCTATCTCTCATTTGGAGGTTTGTGGTTCGATTTCAAAGGGGAGGCCGAGTTAGGGTTCGTGGGACGGAACGGGACACAGTTCGTGTTGGACGGAAAGCCTCTGTATGTGAATGGGTGGAACTCGTACTGGTTCATGGACCACGCCGTGAATGATCACAGCAGGCACCGTGTCGGTGCTATGCTTGAGGCTGGAGCCAAAATGGGTCTCACTGTTTGTAGAACCTGGGCCTTCAATGACGGAGGCTACAACGCTCTCCAGATCTCTCCGGGCAGATTCGATGAACGAGTCTTCAAGGTATCGAAAGGATCTTGCTTTACATAAAGTTTTAGTCTTTTTGAAGACATTATCTAGTCTTCGTTTAGTGTTAATGTAAGTTTATACAATGTAAATGTGGTTAGGCCTTGGATCATGTAATCGCAGAGGCAAAATCGCATGGTGTTCGGTTGCTTCTTAGCTTAGTGAATAACTTGCAAGCGTATGGAGGGAAGACTCAGTACGTGAACTGGGCATGGCAAGAAGGTGTTGGTCTCAGTTCCTCCAATGATTCCTTCTTCTTTGACCCATCTATCCGCAGATACTTCAAGAACTACCTCACGGTATGCTTTGAATCCTGGGAGTAATATAGCTTTTGGTCACTCATAAGAGTTGGAATAATGTAGTCTCATTTCCCAACCGGCAGGTGCTTCTCACCCGCAAAAACTCTATAACAGGGATCGAGTACAGAAACGACCCAACGATATTTGCGTGGGAGCTGATAAACGAGCCTCGCTGCATGTCAGATATCTCTGGGGATACCCTCCAAGTGAGTTCTCCTTCTGTTTCTTCTGAACTGAATCACTAAGAAGACTAAGTAATGTTACTCATGTGGTTTCTGGTTTGTGGACTCAAAGGACTGGATTAACGAAATGACAGCATTCATAAAGTCGATAGACAGCAAGCATCTTCTAACCGTAGGCTTGGAAGGGTTCTACGGCCCCAAGAGCCCAAAGCGGCTGACAGTAAACCCAGAGAGGTGGGCCTCTGAGCTTGGTTCAGATTTTGTTCGGAACTCAGAGTCCCCAAACATTGATTTTGCGTCGGTTCATATCTACCCTGATCACTGGTAAGAAGACCACCATCTGACTCTGTCCAGAAGTTATTTCTCTAGAGACAAAAGTGACCTTGAAACAAACATTTTGGCAGGTTTCACGATCAGGGGTTCGAAGAAAAGCTCAAGTTCGTGGTGAAGTGGATGCTGTCTCACATTGAAGACGGGGACAAGGAACTGAAGAAGCCGGTTCTGTTCACCGAGTTTGGGCTGTCGAATCTGAACAAGGACTATGAGCCGTCGCAGCGGGATCGGTTCTACAGAACAATCTTTGATGTTGTATACAAATCAGCCAAGCGGAGGAGGTCTGGTGCAGGCACGCTGGTGTGGCAGCTTCTGATACAAGGCATGGAAGGCTTCAACGATGACTTTGGGATCGTGCCCTGGGAACAAGACTCCATCCAGAGGTTAATGTTGGAGCAGTCTTGCAGATTGGTTCGGGTCACAGGACGCCATCATCTTCAGGCAGACAAGAAGTCGAGAGAAATGTGTTCGCAGAGACCATGATTATATATATAGTTTTCCTTTTACCCATGATATGTGTATGCAAACTCACTCAAATCATATATTTATACATGAAGAAAATTAGTGATTTTGAGCTGTGTGTGTCAAATGAATCATCACCATTCATCATCATATTGGCCCACTTATTGGCTTTGAGGACGAGTTTCCTCCTCTATTTTTTCTCGAATTTCAAATTTTTGTATATTTAATTATTTATCCTTCAACTTTTTATTTATTCCAACATTTGCCCCGATCATTTGAGGTGTGGTGGTAATTAACAACCTTAAATCTATAGAGACGGCGGCTTAGCACCGTGATTACATCTCATCGCCGACATAATACCTCCGCCTAACGACGATGATGAGGGCCACTCACTCTCTAAATCTGCTTCCCAAACCATGTCCTCCACAGTTGAGAATCTCCACTTCATTCAGAACAAATCTCAGGTTTGACTCCAGATCCGGGACCCATCGGAGGCAGAACCTCAGCATCCGATCCGTCTTCACGGGAATCGTGGAAGAAATGGGGGAAGTCAAGAACCTGGGAATGGCCGACCACGGCGGGTTCGACCTTAAAATCGGCGCCAGAGTGGTGCTGGAGGACGTGAAGCTCGGCGACAGCATCGCCGTGAACGGGACTTGCCTAACGGTGACGGAGTTCGACGCGGAGGAGTTCACCGTAGGGTTATCACCGGAGACGCTGCGAAAGACGTCGCTGGAGGAGCTGGAGAGAGGATCTCGGGTGAATCTGGAGCGTGCGCTCCAGCCGGTGAGCCGTATGGGCGGGCACGTGGTGCAGGGACACGTGGACGGCACGGGAGTGATAGTATCGATGGAGGCTGAGGGAGACTCGCTGTGGGTGAAGGTGAAAGCGGACAAGGGACTGCTGAAATACATTGTGCCCAAGGGGTTTGTGGCGGTGGACGGGGCGAGCTTGACGGTGGTTGATGTGTTTGACGAGGAGAGCTGCTTCAACTTCATGCTCGTTGCGTATACGCAGCAGAATGTGGTGATTCCCACCAAGAGAATTGGCCAGAAAGTGAACCTCGAGGTTGACATCATGGGCAAATACGTTGAGAGGCTTCTTCTCGCCACTCGCGCCGCACAGGTAACTACAAAACTCAAAGTTTAGCTCTTTTTTTTGTTTTGTTTTGTTTTTCTAGGTTTGATTTAGAGGAAAGTATAGGTGTGCGTTCCTTTAATCACTATACTCAGCTAGATTATCGGAGAAGCGTGTTCCTTGTGTATTGTAATCCGATCATTTGGTCTTGTTTGGGAATCTCCAGTCACTCTGTGTCAGAGAAACTTTCTAGTTGTTGAATTGAAGCTTAGTAACATTTATTGTATGGATTACAGGAAAATCAGGATGATGCTTAAGATTAGATGGGAGAAAATGGTGAGGGAAGCTTGTTTGGGACCTGTTGGCCTTTTGAGTTCTATGCAAGATGGATCATCTTGACCTCTGTTTGATTGTAATGATAGTAGTGTGCAGAAACTTATGGTTTGAGAGAAAAGAAGACGAACCTCATCGAGTGATGATGCTCAATTCATTTGTGTGATAAACCCACTAATCGATTCGAGAATAAGCTTATAGCATTACCTTTTTTCTTTACTTAATTCTTGCTTCTTGAGTGTGTGTGTGTGTGTGTCGATAAAAGCAAGAGAAGATTTTTTATAAAGAGCTGAGTACACAAATGAAACCAAGAGACATATATCATAACTTTTTTTCTTACCCATGGAGCATGTTCTGAGATGTGCTACCAAGATTTCACGACTATATGAACAAAAGACAGAGAAGCAGGAACATGGAGAGAAGAGCGAGAGATGCAGCAGTTGTGGTGGAGGCCCGGGGGATAGAATCAGAAGAAGTTGAGGATGCGGAGTCGGTGACATTAGTGCAGGCGAGACCTTGTAAGCCCTCTTTGCACATGTTGGCAAAGATTCCAGGAGGATAACGTCCGTAGCGGGTGATGTAGCTGAACATTGTGGAGGCACAATCGTTCTTCTCGTCGTCGATAGCTTCTGCGAAAGGGCAAGCAAACTCCTTGATGGCGGAGCAGCACACCTTCGCCGGATAATCTGGCCCTTTGCATCTGCTTGTTATGATTGTGTAGTTTTGATTCGCAAAGTCTTCTTTGCACGCTGTTTCAACAAAACACACACAGCAAAGCAGAAAAGAGAAGAGAAGAGAAGATCCACATTTGGAATTATTAGAGATTTGCTCAAATCATCGATCATTTAAAAGGGATGATGGATCGTTTACTTGTTCTTGCTTGAAGAAGAGCTCGGCTTGTGGCTACTTGAGGATCAAATTCATCATCTGCACATGTCAATCCAGGAAAAATTTAATTTTGTTTCTCATTTTTCAAGGGTTGTTTCTTTTCCATATACAAAAATGGAAAGAAAAAGAGAAAAACCCAAATCATTTCTAAAATCCTAAAAATAAATGCAAGAAATTGAGGAGAGATGTACATGAAAGGGAGACACCAGAGAGGAGGAACACGAGAAGAAGAGAAAGCAGAGAGTAAGGAGAGATCTCCATTGTTTCTCTGTTTCTTCCTTTGCCTTCCTTTTTGTTTCTCTTGATTTTTTTTGGGAAACTATATATCAAAGTTTCGGAAATATAGAAGAAGAAGAAATCTTTGCCAAAAGCATAAACGACGGCGTTTTTTATTTCAGTACTCTGCATCCCCTACATGCTCGAGTGAGAATCGCGAGTAAATTGAAACCTGTAACTAAAATTTTGATCAACGGAATGTTAAACCCTAAGGAGGTCAGTGTTTGAATCAGCGGCCAAAGTATGAAGCATCTTCTTGGTCGTCTTCTCGTTCGTGCAAAGCCAAATCGCATTCTCAGTAGCTTCCTTTATCACTCCTCCCGGAGAGGAGGCAGGACCGTGACCTCGCCGTTGGACCCATACGACACTCTGCAGCGTCGGGTGGCGAGGGCCGGCGATCCCTCGGCTTCGATTGTAAGAGTGTTGGATGGGTGGCTCGATCAGGGGAATCTGGTGAAGACTTCGGAGCTCCACTCCATCATCAAGATGCTCCGCAAATTCAGCCGTTTCTCCCACGCCCTCCAGGTCCCCTCCTCTCACTTCTCTTTTGCTTCTTCTTCTTCACTTTGCATTTTCATAAATCCCTCCCTCTCTCTCTCTCTGGTTGCTGTTGTTGATTTTAGATATCAGATTGGATTAGTGAGCATAGAGTTGATGATATCTCTGAGGGAGATGTGGCGATTCGCCTTGATTTGATTGCCAAAGTTTGTGGTATGGGAGAAGCTGAAAAGTTCTTCGAGAGGATTCCTGCGGAGAGGAGGAACTACCATCTCTACGGTGCTCTCTTGAACTGCTACGCCAGCAAGAAAGTGTTGCACAAAGCTGAGCAATTGTTTGACAAGATGCGAGAGCTCGGCTTCCTCCGTGGCTGTCTTCCCTACAACGTGATGCTCAACCTCTACATCAGGAGTGGCAAATACTCAATGGTTGAGAAGCTTCTCCGAGAGATGGAGGATCTTGATGTCAAGCCGGACATCTTCACGGTGAACACGCGCCTGCATGCTTATTCCGTTGTATCTGATGTAGAGGCGATGGAGAAGTTTCTGACGAGCTGCGAGGCTGACACTGCGCTTCAGCTGGACTGGCGCACCTACGCCGATGCTGCAAACGCCTACATCAAAGCTGGATCAACCGACAAGGCGCTAGAGATGCTGCGTAAATCAGAGCATCTGCTGAATCCTCAGAAAAGAAAGCAGGCCTACGAGGTTCTCATCTCCTTCTACGGCGCTGCTGGTATCAAGGAAGAGGTGTACCGTCTCTGGAGCCTGTACAAGGAGCTGGACGGGTTCTACAACACTGGATACATCAGCGTGATCAGCGCGCTCTTTAAGGTGCAAGATATCGAAGGTGTCGACAAGATTATGGGAGAGTGGGAAGCTGGACACTCCCTATTCGACGTCAGGATCCCGCTCCTGCTAGTGACGGGTTATTGTAAGAATGGGATGATGGAGAAGGCGGAGGAAGTGGCAAAGATGGTGGTCAAGGAGACGAGCACATGGGAGCGGTTAGCTCTGGGTTACAAGATGGCCGGTGAGATGGAGAAAGCGGTGGAGAGATGGAAGAAGGCGATAGAGGTGAGCCAGCCAGGGTGGAGACCGCACCAGGTTGTGCTGATGAGCTGTGTGGATTATCTGGAGGGTCAGAGAGACATGGAAGGTTTGAGAAATGTTCTGAGACTGCTCAGCGAGCGAGGTCACGTTTCCTACGATCAACTACTGTACGATATGAACGGAGCTGGACTGGGTTGGAAGATAGTAGACGCAATGGGAAGAAGCCGTGTACTAAGAATGGAGTCTTGAGAGAGACCATTTTGGATAATACATAACATGTAGTTTCGTTTCATATACGATAAGCATTTTTTTTGGTCTCAAGGTTTTTGGTTAAAAATGGAGGGAAAGGCCTACTATTAATGTTAATTATATAACAAACAAGAAATACCAAATAATATATATATCGATTCATATGTTGTTGTTACTCTATTCGGTTCCACCAACGTATCCTCCTCCTCTCATTGCCTCGAGCATCTTGAGGCTCAAACGGCCTTTGTCCATCACATGTGAAACTTGCTCTTCTTTGCTCAGCAGCCTGAGAACGTCAGCTGTACTCTCCATGTCTCTTCGACCCTCAACGTACTGCACGCAGGCGTAAGCGGACAGAGCCATGCTGCTTCCCTTTGGGTCCCAGCGGTCCTGCAGCCTCCCCTTCATGGCCTCTGCCACTCTCTTGCTCCTCTCCTCCTCTTGTGTATCGTCCTCATCCAGCACCAAGTACTGTAACTTTTCCGTCAAGCTCTCCCACTTGCTCTCCTTCTTCCCAAGCATGTCAACAACCTTCTCTGCCTGCTCCTTGACGAATCTCCTTTTGTGACCGAAATCCGCCAGACCGAGATCGTCAGCGCCGATATCCCATTCCTCCAAAACCTCGTGAGCCACGCCGAGATCGCCTTTCATTGTAAAGGCCTTGATGATGTCAGAACATTTGGCGCTGTCAAAAGAGATCCCGTGCTCCTTCGCCAAGCGCAAGAGACGGTAGACGTCTTCTCTTTCACCCTCGTGACAATAGGCTGTCATGAGACATCCATAGATGTGTTCTCTGCACCGATCTTCGACTAATGACTCCGCCATACGCAGCAAGGCTAGACCTTTCTCCCTAGATCCTAGCTGTAAGTGGAGGCATGCGGGGAAAAAGTAAGTGGCCCATGGCTCCATCTTCTTCTCCCACTTGCTCAAAAAATTCTCCATCCCTTCCCTGTCTAGGACGTTGGCAATCGCGAAAGAAGATAAGAGCTTGCCAAAGGGAACTCCTTCGGCTTCCATTTGTTTGTCGTGCATCTCGCGCAGAAGCTTCACCACCATATCGTGATTTTCAGCCTGGTGGTAGAGACAGAGCATGGTGTTGTAAGGCTTAGCATTGTTGGAAGCCAAACCAAGGTCTCTCATCTTCTGAAACGTGGTCTCGGCTACGCTCAGGGAGCTCTGAGTCTTGCAGCAGTTCAAGAGAGCGTTGTGCACGTAAAAACCCCTCTTCTCCAACGGAATGGTGTCCAAGAACTTGCCCGCTTCTTCAAGACCACGAACTTTCGCAATCAGGAGAACCCGCCACTCGAAATCTACCGTAGACAGGTTGTAAGCTTTTTGGTCACTCATCCACTCCGAAATCTTAAACAACCACATAAAACAAAACCATCAGTCTAACAAGAGAGAAGAGAGATTGCCGATTTCAGCGAAATCTCCTCCAGTTTACAAACCATAAGTTAACTAGTAACCTGGAGAGCGTGGGAGCTGCGGTCGAATTTGTGAAGCGAGGCGATGATTCTCCTGAGCTCTGAATGTGCCGCTTGATTTCCGCGTTCGCACCATTCCCGGAGCAAAGGGGTAACTGAGGCCGTCGAATCCGGGACGCGCTCGATCCGACGCTTAAGAGTGTCATGAGCCGGATCCGGCGAAGGAATGGTTTTGGAGAAATGAACGAAGGAACACCTGCAACGAAGGATCCTCAAGAAGCTTCCGAATTGTGGTCGGAGAAGATGATTCATGCTCAGACACAGACACAGACACAAACCCTTTTGCTTTTCGCTTCTGTTCGTCCGACCACTTTGACTATTGACGACGGCACAACATATGTTATAATTTCTTTTTATTTGCTTTCCATAAAATAAAAAGTAAAACTTGTGTCTGAACCGGAACAAGACTGCCATAATTTCGAATTACGAAAACCCGGTTCGGTTTGAAATCACATACATAAACTTACTACACCAAGTAAGAGGTCTTGTGATCAAAAGTAAAACAATACAGTAAGTGTGTAGAACAGTGGTTTAAGGTAAAATTTGCGGTCATTAATCAACTATCTAGCGGTTCGAGATACAATTTTTTCACGTTGATTAGGTTGCAACTAAAGGATGATTAATTTTGTTTGGTAAACTTGTAATTATTAAATTGGTCATCCACTCTTTATGCAATGTGTGATAACCATCATTCAAAACACTGCAATTTTATTATTTGGGCCGAAATGCTCGACCACCGTCACAAGTCACGACACAATGAAATTTGAAGACATGTAACCATAATAATTAATAAGCGTATCAACTTGGGGTTAAGACCACACCACACTTCATACATAATTCATAAAATCAGACATCAAGGGAAAGCGAGCAGCCATATATCCTAAAGTCATTGGGAGACCAATTCAAGCACAACAACATATGTCCAAGTCCCGACAAGTCCTCAGGCTTTAGATGAGCTTAACACTGCCAAAACAAAAGAGTTGCAGATACGTATACAGGCACTAGAACAAAAGAGTGATGATGAATAATAAAAATGCAAGACTCATGAGGCTTCAGAGTTGTATCATTCACTCACTTGCTCAAAGCCAAATAATGGCTTTGATCAGGCAATGTAGGCAAAGATATGAAACATCATCACCAGCCTCCTCCAAACAAACAAGAAAAAACATATTACGATTCTCTTTTAAGAAAACCAAACTATGCCTCGGAATACATTTTGTAAAAGTTTTATCATTGGTTTAATCAGACAATGTAGGCAAAATTTGAATCGTCATAGGCAAACTTATTAGAGAAAGATCCTAAACAATTATTATGACCACCAAGACAATGAGCCTCAGAGTGATTATCGAAGTTTATATTTCAGTGGTAAATCAAACAATGTAGGCAAACTTTTTCAATCATCACTGGCCCAATGATCCAACCACTAATTTCGAAAGAGACTGGATTAAGGATTTTCAAAGCATAGAGACAAGAACAAGACAATCTTCATTGAAACATCAAATATGTTCATTCCTATGAGTTGAATTCGTAAATTCGATCAACAAAAAAAAAAAAAAAAAAACAAACGTAAGTTAAAAGACAGGCATGAGAGGAATCAAAAGAAAGCAAAAGTTTGAATCTACGCTAGTTGTAATGCGAAATAAAAGTAAAACCCGAATTGATGTGTGTGTTTTCTCTCCGCCACCAGAGAGAGTATGTTCTTCTTCCTCTTCTGAAACCCTAGAATCCTTTTATAAATGCAACTGCGGTGATTAGTGTTGGACCAAATCGGGTAGAGGCCCATTTATCAGCCCACTAAAGCTCCCCTGTTTTTGTAATTGGGGGATTCATTCAAAGTTCCAACAATTCGGGTAGAGGCCCATTTGTCGGCCCACTAAAGCTCCCCTGGTTTTGTAAATGGGGGATTCATTCAAAGTTCAAACAATTCGGGTAGAGGCCCATTGATCGGCCCACTAAAGCTCCCCTGTTTTTGTAATTGGGGGATTCATTCAAAAGTTCAAACAATTCTGAGAAAATATCTTTTGCCCTTTGCTTTACTGTTTAAATTTAAAGATTTTATAATTATATAAAAAAGACTTACAGTATTCATACAAAGTGGATATGCTTGAATTAACCTGATCGAACTGTCTAATGTAGAATCATTTCACATTAGTACAAATCTCTACAATATTATCATTTATGTCATAGGTCCTTTGCTTATTTTTTTTTCAATTAAGGCCAAGATTTATCATTTGGAATCTGGTCATTTCATTACTGGAAAAGAAATGAACGATTAAAAAATCTGTAAATTATTGCGTGTTGGGCAGATCTCAATCCTACCGAATCGAAGATAAGATACTAGGAATTTGAGAAAAGAATGAAGAAAAAACACAATTACTATATAAAACCCACAAGTAGGAAGACAAAACTTAGAATTTTTTTCTTCGTGGAGGGAAGAAAGAAAGAAAGAAAGAAGAAGACAAAGTATGGAGGAGGAGAAGTTAAGAAGGAATCAGCGACGAAGGTTCTTGACTTTGGACCATCCCTTCTTGCAAGATTTGCCGACGACTTTGATACCTTTCTTGAAGAGATGCTTGAGCTCCATGGCCCTCATCTTCACCTGATCCTCGAATGCTCCCATCTTCTCCTTCCTTTGGATACCTTTCTCTCTGTTCCTGGGAGGCACCAGAGACGGATATGTATCGTGTTCGATGAGATGTGTGTGGGCTTTATTAAAGTTTTGTCTGTCTCCTCCTCCTCCATCTCTTTATATATATATAAGCGGTATTTACTTTGACAGCTATGAATTTATTTATTCTGAGAAATGTTTATTAATAGCGTATTAAAATCGGGAGATTACACCTATGCTTAAAGGAATAAGCTATCCTCTGCTGTATTTATGCTTCTTTCTAATTAGTTTAGTGGTATCCATTTTTGAATTTGGGTTTTTAACAAAATTTAGTAGCAAAGCAGGGGATGTTGAAAATTCATCGGGTTTGTACACGTGGCAGAAACATGACCGTTAAAAATGGCCAGCTGTGCAGTCCTCATCATGCAGGACCCACAAGATGGACCACCTGTCCTTGTTATTGGTCCTCCTCTCCTTTCCCATCCCTCTTTCTTTCCTTTTCACACTTGCTTGCTTGCTTCTTCCTTTTGCCTTAAACACCGATTTAAAAATGCTTTTGATTCTTTAAACTCTGCTTTTTGTGTCACAGTTAGACAGATAGTATTAGAGATAAGCTCGTGTAATAAAGCCTTTTGGTTTGTTGTTCAAAGTCAAAGAAAATTAAAAAAAAAGGATTAAAGATTCTCTCTCTAAAGCTTCAAGGAAGAGATAAGCTGCATACACACGGTTTATACGCTGCCTTGTTAGTAAAGAGAAAGAAAGAAGATATTTTTTGGTCACGTAGCTGACAAGGAAGATGGTCCCCACCGAAAGTCTCTCTAAGAGGCAAGGAGGAGTGTCAAGGCGTTGTAGAGGGAGTGGACGACCACCGACGAGGCTAAGTTCCCCGACCAGCTGTAACATCCACCTAAAACGCAGCCTATCCCAAACAGCTGCACCGAGTCCTCCCCGGAGAAGTGAGCTGCTGCAAACACTCCTGAGCTTATCACAAGCGCCTTCCTCCACTCCATTCTCGCCGCTAATGAGCTCAGTAGGAAGCGTCTGTACACAATCTCCTCTAGGATTGGAGCTACGACGCAGTAGAGAACCACACACCCGCTTCTCGACACCTCTCCGCTCTCCATTATCTTCTCCAATTCCGAGTTGTGCACTGCCTGAGAGATGGAACAAACAAACACATTGCCTCTTGCTACTCTGCTAAACGATATCATCTTTTTAGAAGAGGATTAGTTAATGATATGACCTTAGAACCAAAGAGTTGATCAGCTACAAGTGACGTGACGAAGACAAAGCCCACGAGACATCCCAAACCCAATGCTGAGCCAACCACCCAGTTTCTTCCTTCTCCCGAGTCTTTCTTACTATTGCCCTTTACAAAGTTGATCGATTTGCACTGAGGCTTGGCAGTGTTCCTCAGCAACAAGACTGTCCCTGTAAGTTCTACCACTTGGAGAATCACAAGTGATAGCACCTGTACATTGTATTTGTACCCACACCCATTGAATTTCAATCAGAAATATCAATTGCAGAATCAAATTGCACAACCATTGTTATGAACAGAAATAAATTGTGCCCTTTTGCTCATCATCACTATAGTAGAAAGCATTCAACTTGGCAAAAAGGGAAAGGAGGCTCACTTGGGCCTGAGGATCAAGAAGCCGCTGGTTGAGTAAGTGGGCAACGATGGATAAACCCCCAAAACTGAGGGGAATATGCAGGCAGAAGATGTATACAGCCAATGTGCTCCACACGTTCTTCTCTTCCCACGGGATTTCTGATCCCAAAACCGAGAACCCTTCTTCTTTCTCAATGATTTCTTGTGGGGATTTGCTTTTGAGGGAAGAGCATCTCACACAAGAAGAGCTGGACCGACAATTGGATGAGGAGAGACCGCGAAACTCTAAGTATCGTCGCAAAACCTCGTCGGAAGCCCTAGCCACCGGCGTGAAGGAAACCCCTCGGGACAGAATCATCGCCGCCGCCTTTGACCTGATGAGAGCCTCCCCTCATTTCTTCATAGAAGCAAGCAGCTTTCAAGTTACCGTGTTGGATCAATTCACTTCTGTGGTTTCCAAAGACTTACTGAATTTTTTTTGGCATAAAGTGTGATTTTTCCCCCAACCAAAAACGAAAAATAATATCTTTTTCTTTTGTTAAAAAAAAAAAAGTTTGGTGCTTGGCGGATTTAGAGAGGAGAGAAGTCCGGGAGCAACACGATTCACAGGTATTTGGATTTCTCTTCTTCTTCTTCCTCGACCCAACCGCCCACCGACGAGAAATTGTTGTCGAAAGGATGGTGAGGATCGTGAGAAGCTGCTTGCAGTCCATGTTGAAGCTGGTGAATTCCCTTCTTGGGATGGTTGGGGTCGCCATGATCCTCTACGCTGTTTGGCTCATTAGGCAATGGCAAGAACAAACGGGGAACCTCCCCTTCGCTGATTCTGATCACCCCGTTCCTTGGTATGCCTCTCTTTCATTTTCTTATCTATTATTTAGATTCGGATTAGGCAGAGACAAAACATCTCAGGGATTCTATAAGGTTATGGAATATAGCATGTTATGTCTCTCGAATTTGTTGTCTATCTTCTCTGTTTGATGTTCTTCTGTTGTGTGGGAAGCTATCATTGTCTGCCATTACTAATGAACCAATTCTCTGCAGGTTCATTTATGCTTTTCTTGGTCTCGGCGCTATTCTCTGTGTGGTCACTTGTGCCGGGCACATAGCTGCTGAAACCGTTAATGGATGCTGCCTTTACTTTGTAAACTTCTTTTCTTTCGTTTAAGCTTTTCCTGCAACTCTATCGGCAATCTTTCCTGAATCCCCTCTCGTGTTTCTTTTCATATATGTGAATGTTTGTTGGCTGGGTTCAGTATATGGGATTCATCGTTTTGCTGATTATGGTTGAAGGCGGTTTGGTTGCCGATATCTTTCTCAACCGTGATTGGAAGGAGGTATGTTCTCGCATCTCGTTTCTTTTGCAAAATCTTCAATAGTCATAGGCACATGATCCTAATCTTTTACAAGCTTGCATCAGGACTTTCCAGAGGATCCGAGTGGTGCTTTCCACCACTTCTCTAAGTTCATCGAGTCGAACTTCAAGATTTGCAGATGGATAGGTCTCTCTATTGTCTGTGTCCAGGTATCTTAATACCTTCAAGTTTCTACTTCTACGGTGTTGGTTGGTTGCAGTGTTTCACAGCCTTGTCTTCGTTTATTTGGCAGGGTGTATCAGTTCTATTGGCCATGTTGCTCAAAGCTCTTGGACCTCACCGTCATTATGACAGTGACGATGAATACAGTGTAAGCAGGGTCGCGCTCCTGCGAGATGCTCGCCAGCCGCCTCCGTACGTTGTTGGAGAACCCATTTATGGAGCCAAACCGGATGCTTGGACTGTTAGGATCAATGAGCGATCCAACCGGTAAAAGGTGCAGACCAAGAGAAGATACAGCAAAACAGTCGCTCTTTCAGTATGCACTTACTTTGGCTTCTTCTTGCATGCATCTCCCTCTCTCTCTTTCACTTTCGCTCTTACTCCAAACCATAATCTCTTGTAAAATCTTGTATACACAAATATATATACATATAAGGGTTCACTTGTATGTTAAAAACTACTACTGTATGTGATAAGTGCCGACCTCTCTCTCTCTGTCATGTCTTTAGGAATTTTGTGATCAGTCCTGCCTGTACCGGTTCTGTAACAACTGGTTTAAAACAGAGTTAATCGGTTTGACTTGGTCCTGGCTTCAGGCCTAGATTGGTCGGATCAGGCCTGGCCTTGTTTATTTACATCATGCATGACCATAAAATCGGCCCTGCTGTTAAAGATTCTTCTTATGTACAAGTCGTCTTAAGGTTGACACATACTTATTCGTTAAAAATAAAGTTTAGAATAGGATCCTACTGCACCAATGGTCTTCGATGAGTGATTAATCTTACGGCTTTGTGGGCACATGGGAGGGAAAGACTAATTGTGTAGAAATGTGAAGAAGGCATTAATTGAGAATGTGATGTGAACTGTAAGATTCCTATATATGAACTGTTTCTATTGATACTCTCTCATCATCTCATGTGACTTTGTAATCTCGTAAAATACAAAACATCTTTATCTTGTTGTCATTCTCAATAATACAATATGGCTTTTTCCACTTTGATTTAAAGTCTTCCCATTTCTATAACGAATCTCGATTTTTATTTTATTTTATTGTAAGTTGTTAATAATAATATCTTTCACCAATCTTTGCTAACACAGACACGCATACGTAGATCCAATAATCATGATGATTATTAAGAAGCTAAGTTTATAACTTATATTATAACTTCTCTTTTTTATTTGATTATGTGTAACTCGAACTCAACATTTTGTGTACGTTTCATCTCCAACGCAAGTAAATAATAAGGTACAATAGATTGTTGGTTGCATTTGTAACCACCATTAATATCATCATACCTTATAAGCAAGCTTGAGTGTAACTGACGCTAATATATAGTTCATTTCGAAGTTGTTGTATCTAAGAAGAAGCAGTTTCTTGTAAACTTTAAAGAAAGTATAAGAAGGATCGTATGATCAAAAGGTAAGGATTGTGACGTGGCCGCGTAGTCACTACTAGTCATGACATGTGCGGTCTGATCAAATAAACCGTAGAAATGGGCATTACGATTGCAATATTAGCTTTTTCTTTTTCTTTTTCTTTTCCAACATTAAATGTAAACAGAAATCAAGAGAATATATAGTGGCATCAATGAGCTATATGGTTGGTTGTTCGTTAATAACGAAGCAGTTTGAAAAATAATACTATTTTCTGATTGCTAAAATGATTGATGCGCTGTGTGGAAGAGATTGGCCATCAAGATTTCGTTTCTCCAATCTTATCGTACATAAATATACGTTCAACCTCCTATTTAATAAATGGTTATATTTTTTTCAGATGCATGACAAAATGTGACGTTGTGTTGTTTTGTTATGTGCAAGAAATACAGATAAAATTGTAGTATGTTATATATATTGTGAGTTCAAACGTTCAATGATGTGAAGATAAGTCGTTAGCTATAGAGTGCTCATGAGTTGATTGAAAAAATGGTCCCAAAATATCAACACGTGAAACATTAGTACTGAGCTGCATATACAACCGCCATATTCTACCTATGAACAACAATGCAAAAATTCAAGAAGGTACACATTGTTGGTGCTGTTGCCTTGTTGGTGTTGGTGTATTTCATTCATTTACTTGACAATATATGTAGTATATTTGGTCTAATTTCAAGAGTTATGAAGAAAGATAATCCATCATTACATTCTATATAACTTCATTTGCATCAACCAATAGCTTTTGGATCTCGGTAATTAGAAAGAATCTTGTTGTCGCAAAGACTTCAACGGCCGAATCTTATACTAGTTACAGAAACACAACCATGCGGGCCTACGGGATCGTGCGGAATCGAGGCTCCTAACTGTCAGTGGGTCCCATCAATGGCTCACTCCGTAAATAAGGAGGAGGACACAACAAGGCATGTTGATGCAAATTAGAGTAGGCTTCTTTCTCTTTCCTTGACATATAAAGTACATATTCTCATTCCCTCTCATCTATTTAACAAAACCCAAACATCTTTTTTATACACTCTCACTCCACTTTTCTTCGTCTCATCTTTTGTTTTGCTCGGGAAGCCGACAGACAGAGTCTGTCTCTGACACACGCGGTGGACAATGCAGCTCCTTCCGGCCATCCTACCGACACTCTGCGCCGTCTTCTTGCAGCTGCTGCTTCGAGGATGCCCCTCTGCCACTGCTGCGTTGGCTCACTCCACTAACCACGTGGCACCCACTCGCTGGCTCCTCGCCACTGCCACCTGGTACGGAAGCCCCGAAGGCGACGGCAGCAGCGGTAACAAAATCAAATTAAAAGTTTAGGCATTGCGAGTTATACAAGGCCTTTCCTGATTTGTATTAAAATCTAGAGTAATTAACAAAATTATGAAACACGCATGCAGGAGGAGCGTGCGGGTACGGGTCGTTGGTGGACGTGAAGCCGTTGAAGGCAAGGGTCGGAGCGGTGAGTACGGGGCTGTTCAAGGGCGGCGAAGGCTGCGGCGCTTGCTACAAGGTCAGGTGTCTCGACAAGACCATCTGCTCTAAGAGAGCCGTCACGATCATCGTCACCGACCAGTCACCCTCAGGACCATCTGCTCGAGCAAACCACACTCACTTCGACCTCAGCGGCGCCGCCTTTGGCCATCTGGCTATTCCCGGCCATTCCCGCCTCATGCGCAACCGCGGCCTCATCTCCCTCCGCTACCGCCGGTACATCTCCTTTTTTCTTTTCTTTTCTTTTGTTGGCTGCCGCTATATACTGTGTGTATATATAACCAAGAAGTATTCATATTATTATTGACTGCTAAATGCTACCGAACAAACGAGTAAAATATATTCTGATTTTCCTACATTGGGACTTGAGAGGACTAAACAAATACGTTTAACTTTAACGGCTTCCTAATGTTTGACCATTGACTCAATATCACTAAACACACACCTCTCCATACAACATTATATAACTTTGTCTGTCCATTTTCTTATAATTTTTGCTGAGCTGAATTTGGTTGGTAAAACAGGACGGCATGCAAATACAAAGGGAAGAACATAGCGTTCCATGTGAACGCAGGATCATCTGATTATTATATATCCCTTCTCATCGAGTTTGAAGACGGAGAAGGGGACATTGGCTCTATGCACATCCGTCAAGTATAAATACATCATCTCTTCTCTCTTTCTCTTCTCCCTTCTTAATTAGATAACTCATCTTTTACTCAAAATTCGTTCAGGCGGAGTCTAAGGAGTGGATAGCAATGAAGCACATATGGGGAGCAAACTGGGTTATCGTCGGAGGACCACTCAAAGGACCATTCTCAGTCAAGCTCACCACTCTGTCCAACAATAGAACGCTCTCCGCCACCGACGTCATCCCCCAAAAATGGGTTTCGAAAGCTACTTACACCTCCCGCCTCAACTTTTCCCCTGTCCTCTAACCAATTTACTAAGCTCCTTCCCCATTTCTCTGTCTTCACCTGTTTTTTTGTTGTTGGGAGAGAGAGAGAAAACAGAGAGAACAATGAGTGACTGAGATACAGAGGATGGATGGCAAACATATCCCCTCTTCCCTCGTCTTTTTGTTTTGTGAGTGACAATGTGTGAGCGTCGGTGAGTGTAGGCATCTCCAAAGTAGGAGCGAGAGAGCTTCATTCTGTGATTACTTACTACTTACTACTGTTTGGGGTTCAATCTCAGCGGTTGGATCTACTTTTTATGTAATCATCCTTTTTTCTTCTTTTTTCCTTCTAAACCTTTGTTAAAGGCTATAGGATTAAGGTGTATCTATATAATAATGTCGTTTGTGAGACATTACTAAATAATAAGAGAATCTCTACAAATGTATAATACTATATCCCTAATAGTTACAATATGCAAATCTCATTTCTCTCTCTCCCAACTCTTTTTGCCTGCCCCACTTCCATCTCTAATGAGAACAACTTGGCAACTCTTTCAAATGTAATAATAATATCTCAAATGTGTTCCTATTATTACAAGGAGATGATGCATTCTTTCTCTAACATGTACCTTAAGAGCGAGTGTCTGAAAAGAGACGAAACAACTGGACCTCACCATCACGTGCATCCACGTGTCCCACTATCTTCCTCGACCCTCTCAAGTCAGTACGAAAATAATGTAAAGATGGTTCACATGGCACACAATCACGACACTCTTTAGGCTTACCACCAAACTATTGAAAAATAATCATATGCCCACATCATACAAACATACATGATTCATCCAACAACCTGTAGTTCTCAGAGTCTTATAAAATGTAATACGTGGAACCAAAATGATTATCGTGAACATCATCCCAGACAATATCCTCATCACCAAATTTTGCAGAAGAAAAATTAATGATAATAATAAAAAAAATCAAAAACCAAAACAAAAGGACTATAGTATTCTCTCTCCAGAAGAGGAAATGGTGTACCAGAGACAGCCTCCAATAGAAGCTTCTATGTGCGCATACTTACCTCTTCTTATTTTTGCCCGCAGCTATTGTGATTTCAATACCAATGTATGCCCCCCCCCAGCAGTAATACTAACACACGCTTCTCCTTCACTCTGCCTTGGCTCCCTCAGCCTCAGCCTCAGCCACAGCCACAGGTTTGTCCCCCTCTCCCGAGGCGGCAGCAGCAGCCTCAGGTTTCGCTGTTTCAGCACTTGCGTCTTTGGCAGGTGAAGCAGGTTTCTCCTCCGCCGCCTTTGTCTCCGCCTCAGGTTTCCCATCTTTTATGTCCTTGGCGTCTTTCCCAGCTTTGGCATCCTTGCCTTCTTTGGCATCCTTCCCATCTTTGGCGTCTTTGGGTGGCGGCGGAGGAGGCATCATGTGCGGTGGTGGATTTGTCTTGAGCTTCAAGAATATCTGCCTCATTCTCCCTAGATCAGTCGGCTTCCCGGGTTTAGGACCCTGGATAACCATCACCGATGGTTTCTTGTCCGGATCCTTTTTGCCTCTCTTCTTCTCAATGTTGGGAACCTCACGCGGGATTAGCTCTGCTATTGCTTTCCAGTAATGCTTGTCAACTTCTTTGTGGAACTTCTCTTGGTTAGCCCAATACAGCTGCAACAAGAGAGGCAAAACTCACACACAAGTTTACAAGAAATATCTCAAGATGAAGGTCACTGAGAGTAGTGTTTGTCATCACTGCTTACCTTCTCCCTTTCGCGGTTATCAGCCTTGTTGGTCTCGATGTTCTTCTCCCTTTTCTCATAGAAGGCCTTCTTGTATTCTTCTGCTTCCGCTATGATCTGATTCCGCATCTCCTTCTCTTTCTTTTCCTTCTCCTCAAGGTGAATCGCGTTTTGACTGGACCAGTGGGTGCCAAAATATCAGTTCACACACTCAGAGATTCTTTCATGATGTATGTTGGAACAAGAAAAGCATGGTGGTTCCACTCTATCTGATTCAGACTTGACACATGACAAACGAAGATGATAGCTACAAAACATAATTCTACTCGGTTTCTTTCTTAATCCTAATAATCACAGAGGCTTGCAACTTCAATTTTTCCTCAAATACACATTACTTTAACTAAATCTCTCCCAGTTGAGGAAACAATGACGATACTACAATATTCTAACAGCTTTATGTAAGAGCGCATGATCAAATCGATGCTTGAGTGATTAAAGTCCAGAACTTTCCTACCTAAGAAGACACTAGAATCTACCATAGTCGAAATCATGAGAGATCTAGCCCTAATCCCATAACAGGGAATGTAATAATGAAGGTGGAGAATAGAGGACTGACCGGCGCCACTCACGGCGTTGGAAACCCTCCTCCCGCATCTCGTTTGGATCTGGAAGAATCGGTCCGTCGGAGGCGAAGATCGCGTCGCCGCCGTTCCCGTTGGCATCGTTCACGGAGGACTCGAAAGGCGAGGAGAAGTCATGGTTGGGGGAGGAAGCAGCAAATCCGTAGCCGTTTGGAGAGGCGGGATTTTCAGATCCATAGCCTCCATCTCCGTTGAAGGAGGAGAAGCCACCGGGTGGAGGTTGAGTCGGAGGTGGCGGGGCTTCGGAGAAATTTTCGTAGCTCATGAATGAATCGTCGTGTTCGGAAGGAGAATGGGTCTGAGCGGGGAAATCACCGTCATCAAAAGTCGCCATGGGAAAGGAGCTTTTGCTTCTTCGAGATCACAGATTCTCCGTCTTGACTTATATGATCGCTGGTTTGAATCAGATGGAAAGAAGGAAAGCCTTAAACGTCGTCGTCCCAAGTTTGGCGTAGATCTGATTTGTACTCGTTCCTTTTTCCCCTCTTTAGTAGTAGAAAAGGGCACGTTGACCAAAACGTGTAACCAACTCACCGAACCGAACGTCTAAAAACGACGCCGTTTACTCCTCCGTCCTTCTAGAAAGCAAAACCAAATGTTTCTTCTATACGCGATTTGATTTCCCGACGACGATGGCGGATCGGTTCTTCGATAATGTGATGCCCGACCTCGTGAGGGAGACGAAAAGTGAAGCGGGAGGAGATTCGCTCATGAACCTTCTTGCTATGCCTTACTCGTCTCTCTCGCAGCAGCTCAAACGGTCCGCTCTGGATCTTAAGGAAACCGTACGATCTTCTTCGATTCAAATAGTGATGGAAGCTTGTGTCGTCCTTTTTGTTGTCTTTCTTTCTTCTGATTGCTTTCGGGTGTCTCTCAGGTAGTGATGGAAGCTTGGGGTTTCAGTGGGCAGATTGTTGAGGACTTCACTCTTTACTCGGGAACCCTTGGAGCTGCGTTTTTACTCTTTAGAGCTTATCAGGTCACTGGCAACGCCAACGACCTCTCCCTCTGCTTGCAAATCGTCAAAGCTTGTGATGCTGCTTCTGCCTCCTCAGGGTACTGCCCTCTTCCTCGCCTGTATATTATTGAATTGTTGCTGAGAATCAATTGTTGTTGTTGAATTGTGGTCATATTATTATTAGGGATGTAACTTTTATCTGTGGCCGAGCCGGCGTTTGTGGTCTCGGCGCTGCTGCAGCCAAACGTTCTGGTGAGCAAGAGTTGCTCAATCACTATTTGGCACAGTTCCGTCAGGTTTGTTTCTCCTCTTTGTTCTTGGTCCATTTTTCTTGTTTTTCTTTAATTATGTTATGTGACCGAATCGAGCTTTCTTTCACAGATTAGACTATCTAGCGATCTTCCTAACGAGTTGTTATACGGGAGAGCTGGTTATCTATGGGCTTGTCTGTTCGTCAACAAGTATGTTGGTGCGGAAACTGTGCCTTCAGCTACCATTGTAAGTGCAAATTCTGACGAGTCGCCTTTTGTCACTCTACGTAATTCCTTAATGACAAAAGACTCAGTGTGCAGCGCCAAGTTGCTGAGGAGATTATCAAGGAAGGAAGATCAATGGCTAAGAATGGAAGCTCGCCGCTTATGTTTGAATGGTATGGCGAAAGGTACTGGGGTGCAGCACATGGGCTTGCTGGCGTTATGAACGTTTTGATGGATGTTCAGCTGACGCCAGACGAGGCAGAGGATGTGAAGGGAACCCTCAAGTACATGATCAAGAACAGGTTTCCAAGCGGAAATTACCCTGCCAGTGAAGAGGATAGGGGAAGAGATCTTCTTGTCCACTGGTGTCATGGAGCTCCTGGGATCGCCCTCACGCTTGTGAAGGCGGCTGAGGTTTTCGGGGAGAGGGAGTTTCTGGAGGCAGGTGCAGCTGCAGCGGAGGTGGTTTGGAACCGTGGATTGCTGAAGCGGGTGGGGATCTGTCATGGGATAAGTGGGAATGCATATGTTTTCCTCTCTCTTTACAGAACCACGGGAAGGAGCGAATATCTGTACCGTGCAAAGGCCTTCGCCAGCTTCCTGCTTGATAGAGGCCACAAGCTGCTCTCGAAAGGAGAAATGCACGGAGGTGACAGTCCTTATTCCTTGTTTGAAGGCGTTGGGGGCATGGCCTATCTCTTCCTTGACATGGTCGACCCATCTCAGGCCAGGTTCCCTGGTTACGAGCTTTAAACTTTTAAGAATGGATAACAAAATCCACATCTTTTTTTCTTTTAAGATGAATACAGTAGACACAATGGGATGTAGCGTGTTTGTCTCGTTAGTGCCAGCAAAATGTTGTTGTTGTTGTTTTTGTTTTGTGGTGAATCAGTTAGTGTTGATGTCTAATGAAACTGTGGTGGATATCTCTCTGTAAACTCTTTAACTATGTATGAATGTTACAAGGAGAGTGTGGAACATGAAGTGACCACAAAGGTTTCGACTCTCTGTATTGTCTCTCGAGTATTACATATGGTTTCTTCTTGAAACACGGAAAAATCAGCTGTGTTGTAGAATATGCATCGGTCTGTACAAACCATCGAACTCACTCACTTGCAAGAATATATTTTCAAGTGAATTTCTTTCGATTTAAAACATAAACGGAGGAGAACAGAGTATCTTTTCTCTTCTGCCTCTTTCTGTTTGAAATGTCTAATTCTGCGCACAAAAGTCAAAACTCCTGATCCTTGCTCACAAGAAAGAATTTTAAAAGCCCAATTAGGTGATGAGGAGACTCAAATCCAAGTAAACGCTCACCGGACATGAAACGTTAACTATAGAGAGGCTAAAAGTCGATCTCAAAAGAATTTTAAAGCCCAAATGATCAGAATTCAATCAATAGAACCAAAGCAGGCTCAAGTGTTCACAAAAAAAAGACATACTCAGTCACAGTCAGGTCTAGGGAGGGAGTAGAGTATCCTCATTGCAGGCTCAAGTGACGCTTTTAACACTAGTCATCTACTATTTTTATTTTTATTTTTTTTGGTTTAAGTCATCTACTATTTGCCAGAGCTTATGCTTTGTTATCATCCGATTGGTGTTATTCGGACTAATTCTGTTATAAACTAAACTACCTTACTTCTAAACTTACTTTGAGCTGTTAAAAACGGATTCTCCGATGGTCCCCACTACCATAGTTTCTCTGCCTGCGACTTTATCAATCCGGCGGAAGAAGACGGGGAGACTGGCGGTGGCGGGAGAGAAGAGAAGAGAAATGAGGGTAGATGTGTCTTTTTCGCTTTCTCTTAATAGAAAAAAAATAAAAAAATATATGTAAGTGCGATTTACAGGAGGTTTTCTTTGACAGCGAAGAGAGAGAGAGAAGCAAGATGGTCGCTTGAGCTATCTGAAACAAAATCTGCCCTTTTTCTCAGATCCGATTGAATTAATAGCAGCAATCAGATCAGATCGGAGGTGGGTTTCACTTGTTGTAGTAGCATGAGGAGGAGAGGGTCGGATTTCCGGAGGTCAGGGCGGAGGAGGATCTCGAATGTGGTGTGGTGGGTTCTCTCTGGGATTGTGGTTATGCTCTTCATTCTCATTCTCAGCAAGGCTGGTCATATTGAGCCAAGGCCCTCCATCCCCAAGGTTTCTTCTTTCTCTTCTCCCTCCCGATTTCTGGATTCGCATATCCATCGCCCTTCTTCTCTTTGCTCATTCCTAATTTTGGTCGATCCGTGCAGCGGCGTTACCGCCATGACAAGTTTGCGGAGGGCATGAACATGACCGAGGAAATGTTGAGCCCAACCTCCGTCGCTCGCCAAGTTAACGACCAGATTGCTCTCGCCAAAGCCTTCGTTGTCATTGCCAAAGAAAGCAAAAACCTTCAGTTTGCTTGGGACCTTAGCGCCCAGATCCGCAACTCCCAGCTGCTCCTCTCCACTGCCGCCACTAGCAGACACCCTCTCACGCTCCTCGACTCCGATCCCACTATCCGTGACATGGCCGTCTTGCTTTACCAGGCCCAGCAGCTCCACTACGACAGCGCCACCATGATCATGAGGCTCAAGGCCACCGTTCAGTCCCTCGAAGAACAGAAGAACTCCGTCTCCGAAAAGAGCGCCAAGTACGGCCAGATTGCTGCCGAGGAAGTCCCCAAGAGCCTCTACTGTCTTGGTGTTCGCCTCACCACCGAATGGTTTCAGAACTCGGCTTTGCAGAGAAAGCTCAAGGAAACAAGCCATGCCGCCTCTAAACTCACAGACAACAGTCTCTTCCATTTCTGTGTCTTCTCCGATAACATCATCGCTACGTCAGTTGTGGTCAATTCCACCGCTCTCAACTCCAAGTCCCCCGAGAAGCTCGTGTTTCATCTCGTCACTAACGAGATCAACTATGCTGCAATGAAGGCCTGGTTCTCCATCAACATGGACAACCTCCGAGGAGTCACTGTCGAGGTTCAGAAATTTGAGGATTTCAAATGGCTTAATGCCTCCTATGTCCCGGTCCTCAAGCAGCTCCAAGACTCTGATACGCAGAGCTACTATTTCTCGGGGCACAACGACGATGGACGCACGCCAATCAAATTCAGAAACCCCAAGTATCTCTCCATGCTCAACCATCTCAGGTTTTACATCCCTGAAGTGTTTCCTGCGCTGAAGAAAGTGGTCTTTCTTGATGATGACGTCGTAGTCCAGAAGGACCTTTCCGCTCTCTTTTCCATCGATTTGAACAGGAATGTGAACGGGGCTGTTGAGACATGCATGGAGACCTTCCACAGATACCACAAGTACCTGAACTACTCCCATCCTCTGATTCGCTCCCACTTCGACCCAGATGCCTGTGGGTGGGCCTTTGGGATGAACGTCTTTGATCTAGTTGAGTGGAGGAAGAGGAATGTGACCGGCATATACCACTACTGGCAAGAAAAGAATGTGGACCGGACCTTATGGAAACTTGGGACATTGCCTCCTGGTCTTTTGACATTCTACGGGTTAACAGAGGCACTAGATGCATCGTGGCACATCCTGGGATTGGGATACACCAATGTGGATGCTCGTGTGATAGAGAAGGGAGCTGTTCTTCACTTCAATGGCAACTTAAAGCCGTGGTTGAAGATCGGCCTAGAGAAGTTCAAACCTTTGTGGGAGAAATACGTTGATTACAGCCACCCTTTCATGCAACAATGCAATTTTCATTGATTTCTTAGAGCTCTTAGTTTTACTTATAGACAGTAGCCATATCTTTCCACATTTGGTTACAGAGACACTTGCACGAGTTTTGTATGCTCAAGCTCCAATCACTTATTGTCTTATTGTATGTTGTGAATGTGATATTCAAATTCAGTGAAGCATCAGCTATTCTCTGCTTGTATATCATATCTTTACCAAGACCAAAAAATAAGGAATATCTTTGCTTCAAAGTGTATATCAGATTAATAAGTTTAACTGAATAACCCTATAATATTGGCGATCAGGGAACCAACTTACTTTCAAAAGTTTGTTCCTTTTTTTTTTGAAAGTTAAAACCTTTTTTTTTTTGAAAGTTAAAAAAAGATCCTCTGTATCCCCTCTAATCAGATTTACAGGCTTCATTCTCTCTCTCTCTCTCTCTCTCTCGGGAAGCTGTGAGGTAACAATGAACAGCTGTGAACAAGAACAGGTTTCCCTTCAGCAACTCAAAACGAGAAGAGGAAAGTCCCGCGAGGTTAGTTCACGTTTTCTCTCTCCGTCTTCATCTTCTTCTCCTAACCGTAGAAACTCCACTTCCAATTCATCTACCAAGACAGATGATGGACACAACAATGCGCAACAAGTTCATCTCGGTCTGAAAAAGCATGATCGAATGTCAGATGGCACACGGGTTTGTTTCGGGTTCCCAAATCAAAGTACGTCTGGTGAATCCAGTGGCCACGAAGTTGACACAAAAGAAAATCGTAGGCCTTCACCATGGTTCTATGATGAGGATAATGCCATGCTTCCTGGCAGATTCTCCGTCGATGAATGTGCATTGTACAGAGCATCATCAAGGAGAAGCTCATGCTCTCTACTATATGAGTCCTATAACGATGAATCAGATTCAGAGTTGAGCGATGTGTCCTTTGCCTCAACTCTCAGCACAAATCGTTCATCCCGGAGCCATAAACCCGGTATCAAGGTCTCTTCTAAATATCTTCATGATTTAAGGGAAAGACCGACCAAACTAAGGTCAAAAGATGGCTCCCTGAAAGCTAACAGCTTTAGGAGCACTGAGAATATGATGAAGAGGTCTAATCCAGTAGCCAGGTATGGCAGCTCCATGTCTCAGTGGGCGCTGTCACCAGGAAGATCATTGGAAACGCAGGCCGTGACAACACCAAGCTCAAACCTGAAGCCTCCAAGAGGCAAAGGCGTTGGTAAACTATTCAACCTTGGTTTCGATTTCTTCAGGAGCAAGAAGAAGTCTTCTCCCTTCTCTTCACCACTAAAACCAAAGACATGTGACGCAGAGGCTGCTCTTCAGCTGAAGCTTATGAACAACCGGTTAGTTCAGTGGAGGTTTGTCAATGCTAGAGCCTCTGCTGCAAACAATAACGTAGCCTCCCGAGAGAAGGTGATGGTTTTCTACTCTCTGCTGTTACATTCATCATCACCTCTACTTATGCTTGTCAGGTTGTTGAAATAAAAGATCTTGATTCTGAATGCTTAATGAAACCTTTGCAGAAACAAGTACTCTGTGCGTGGGATAGTCTTACCAAGTTAAAAAATTTGGTTCTGCAAGAGAGAATTAAAGTGCAGAAGAAAAAATTGGAGATGAAGCTGCATCATGTGCTTCTTTCTCAAGTACGTATCAGGTCCAAACCCATTTATTTAGTTCGGTAGATCTCAAGCAACAGAGGATTTCTTATCGGGTTGGTACCAAATATATCTGAAACAGGTTAAGCATCTTGAAGCTTGGGAGGGCATGGAAAGACAACACTTTTCATCTCTGTCAATGACCAAACAAGCTCTTTACTCTGTTCTTTCCAGGCTTCCCCTAAGAGATGGTGCAGAGGTAAATCAGATCATGCTCATCTGTTAAGTTTTTGGGTCTCTCTTTTTGTTTTCTAATCCAATAACTCCTGAGGTTTTCAGGTGAACGTACAATCGGCTGTCACTTCATTTGAGAAAGTAGAAGCAGTCACTGATGCTATCACTACAACTGTGAATAGCTTTGCTCCCACGGTAGGTTATTTCGAGTCTGTTGAGAACAAAAGAGACATGATAATTGAGTCTAAGTAAGTGGTTTAGTAACCTGAGATCTTAAATTAGCAGATGGAGGGTATTGTTCCACTTGCCTCTCAACTTGCAGAAGTGGCGGCACAAGAGAAGCTGATGCTGGAGCAGAGCCATGATCTTTTGAGGATGATATCTGAGTTAGAGGTACGAGGATTGTGTGTGCGAATGAACATCTCAGACGTGATATTATATGTTTTGTGTTTTTCTGATAATAGTTTTGGATGTGAGCAGATGCAGGAGAGGAGCTTGAAGTGCTGCCTTCTCATTCAACACAAACAGACTTGGGATACAAAACTTGTTCAAGACTAGGACTTTGGTTTCCCCAAAACAGATCCTTTCCTTTTGTATTACTAAAAGTTAGTATCTTTAAAGCATAAATAAAGGTCCAAACAGATTAGCAGAAGATGCCTTTTGACAGAGGCAGATTTGAAATAAGAGCAAGAGTTTTTGGTTACAGATTCATTTAGTTTGAGGCCATTTACATTTATGTAATATGAACTGATACGAATCAAATAAAATGACTTGACTATACCAAAGTACCACAACACCAAGAGGTCAAAAAAAAAAAGAGCATCTTCTTCTCTGTTTAAGTTGAAGACTCTGGCGGGGAAGGAGGTTTCCACTTTCCAGATGCTGCTTGACCAAACGCAAAATGCGCTGTCGTTTTGATGCCGAGACGACAAATCTTAAAATGGCCTCTACGGGTATCACTTGATCTCTCAATCTCTTCACCAATCTCCTGAAACTCTCAGATCCTCGAAAACCCTAAATCACAAGTCGAGATCGATGGCGTCCTTCGCTCGCCGAGCCATGAGCCTAGCTCAGATTCCATCTGCACGTGCATCCGCCTCCGTTTGTCAGCGTCGTGGTCTCGCCGGCGCCGCTGGTACTTTCTTCTCTCTCTCTCGACATTTGCTTTGGATCTATTATAGATTTTTTGGGTGCGTAATTTCTTTGCCATATTCACCGTCTAATTACTCACCATTGATGAAGAAAGTTGCCAAGATTTTGAAATCCATAGATTGTTTGTTTTCTAAAATGAGAATGTGATTTGAAGAATTTGCGTACTGTGCAGATCACCATGGATCTACCAAGGTTGACTTCTGGAAACAGCCCACGAACCCAGGAAACTGGAAAGAGGAGCATGTACGTTTCATACTTTCTCTTATGTGTTTTCTGTAGAAAAGCTGTGATTTTGCAAATTTGAGTTGATTCCTTCATCCTTGGCCAATCTGCAGTTTGTGCTTATCTCGCTGTCCGGATGGGGATTGCTTTTCTACAGTGGATACAAGCTCTTCACCGGCGGCAAAGACGAGGTATTGCTTGCTCTTCTTCCTTATCAATTTTGCGGCTCTGTGTTCGGAACACAGTGTTCCTCTCCTTACTTATATGTATATACGTTTCTTCTTTCTGTCTTTGCAGCAGAAGCCTGTGGAGACTACACAATGAATTTATATTATGGAGAGAGCTCTCATTCTCGTGCAATTTGATTTCTGTTTCAGCACCTTGTGACTGGTCTTGTATCAGAGCCAGCTATTAGTTCTGATAACCCTTTTGGTGTTTCCATTTGAAAATAATATGCATCCATCACTTTTGAGATCTCTGCAATGGATGATTCTTGGCAGTTTTGTGTCTCATAATTTCCTATGCTTTGAAACATAACAAGTTTAAAGCGAAAGCATTTGGATCCTTTTTGATTCTACTTGTCTGTTTTCGATACTAGGTAGGTTTGTATTTCTCCTTATGTGTAGAGAGGTTACAGATGAATACATCTCCTTCCACCATATGCATCTCGTCTGAAGCTGGTCTTGGCTTCTTCTTCCTTGACATAATTTTTAAACGAGCGAAGCCTACTCTTAAACATCACAGCTTGCGTCTTGTTAGCATTGTTTTTCCATCTCTGGATTTGTGTGTATGTATCTCTTGTTACACACATAGCAATTAGCAGGTGTAAGAAAGCTGTTTAATTATTAAAGGAAAATCGAGTATCCACTATCCAGCATACAAACACAAAGTTAGAGAAAATGAAGTCAAATGGGTTGGGCGTTGGTGGTGAAGTCGAGGCAAGTCTGGCAGTTGCAGTCAGAGAAACGGCAGAGGTTGCAGCCAAAGCAGACGCAGGAAGTGCAGCCTTTGCATGACGGAGAACGGTTGCATCCTCTGTAAACTTTCCTGCTCCCTCTCTCTTCCTCCTCCTCGCATGTTATCCTGCAAATTATAGCAACACGGAATCATCATATTCATTCATCCTCTCTACTCGTAGAAACAAAACAAAACAACAGAGAAATTAACCAACTCACTTGTCGTAAGGATAGTCGCAACAGTTCCAGTTGGGATCAGCGGATGCATCGTGGTGCATCCGGCACTCCCCTCTGCTCCTCAGCCTGAACCTCCTTTCCTTGCCGCATCTGCTGCAAGCAACAAACTCATCCCGATGGTTGACACCTTTGGAAGAGTTCTTCAGAGCTTGGTTGTAGTATCTGAGCAGCACTGTCTTTGAAAGCGCAACTTTGTCTCCCTCGACGAACACCCACACATTGTTCCTCCAGTTTCTAGAGGTTTCTCTCTCAGAATGCTTCTCGAAGGCAGCAGGCGTTAACTTGTCTACCATATCATGGAGAACTTGTGAATGGAAGCGGGTATTAACAGAAACTAATTAATGGCAACGAGACGGCATGAAGCATATTGCATCATCAAGCAAGAGATGAACCAAAGTTGCTTGCAAAGGAAGATGTAGTAGAGAAAACGATCGACAGGCGAACTCACGCATTCACATGTAACATGCATTGATTAATTAGCTAAAAAGCATGGAAAGAGGAAAGGAGAGAGACCTTGGGGGCAAGCGGGAGTGCATTGGCAGGTGACTTGGAGGTCTCCGTCAGAGAAAACCCTAAGCCTCGCAATGGCGTCTCCGTAACGATGGCTGGTGCAGCCACACATCACCTCCACGTAACCCTCTCCAACGATGACCCCACTTATCTCTTGCAGCTCCTCCTCGCTGAACAACTCCTTCGACCCGCTTTCTCTCTTCTCCATCTCCGATCTCCGATCTCCCATCTCCTCCTATAATTAGTATTCTCTGTGCCTAAAAGAATGCACATTTATATATACAACAACCTAATTACATCTTAAGGGTAAACAAGGTAATTCGACATGAGTAGAAGAAGACAAAGGAGCTAAAGAAATATGTATATGCAAATCTCAAAGGTTACAGTTTTTGCCTTTTGGAGTAAAACAAAAAGATGGAGACTTTGAGGTCTCTTTCTTTTAGGTTTTAACTCTCTAGTCTCTGCTACAAACAGAGATAATGGGTTTTTGTTGACGGATGCGAATTAGGTGGCCAATGTAAAACAAGAGAGTCGTGGGGTATCAAAATTATTATTCTGTGTAAACGTTATTTATCAATTTTTGGATTTAAATAACATACGTAACGTACATTCATAGATGTGTACTTGTAATTGTGTGGTTGTCCCCATAAGGAGACTATGCAGTTTTTTTACAAAAGAACAGAGGATAAGTATTTGGGTTGTTTTTTTGCTATACCCACAGATTTATATAACCTCTTCTCTTCTCTTCTGTCTTTCTGACTTTTGAGCTGTTCTACTAATGTTTCATCGGTTTTATTATTTCAGTTAGGTCTATGACAGTCACATCTGTGTCCCTCCTATTCTCCAATTTGCCCATCTTCAATGCTCAAGAGTTCTAACTTACATACACCTATTAGGAAATCTCATTTACTACAATTAACTTGGTAAATTCCAAATTAAGAAACAGAGAGTTTCTGAACTAAACTTAACATGACAAGTTTTTCTTGATGAACATTGGGGTTAGTATTGGCAACGACATTTTGGTAAATTTGCAATGTCAATCAAGGTTGTTGCACTGTTGAATTTTACAGCTGGTCCAGCTTTAATTGCCGTTGTCAATGTATGTAGGCATGTTATGCTATAACATAAGTTGGCTTTACCTCCTCCCATCTTATGTAATGTGACTTTATTGCAATGCCAACAAAAAAAAAACACATACAAAAGGATATAAGTACTCTAGTCAATAATGAGCCGCACCAAACTCCACCTCATCCACGTTTTCTTTGAAGGACGTAGATGTCGTTAACTGCTACATGGTCAAGTCTAAATATTCGTAATCTATGATGAGTTTATGACCAATTTGCCATACCCATATGCAAGTGGAACCACATAAAAGTAGAAATGCAAGAGATCCAGCTTTAGGAAATAAAGGCAAAGCCGCAAAGGCAAAGCCATCTCTCGCACAATAAAATGATGGATGTCGGTAATGATACGCTCGGAGAATGACAAACATCATATTGTTTTTGACTTCAAAGTTTGTTGTTTTGAAAAGTGATAATTAGAGATGTTACAGACAGTATCATGAATTGATGAGCAAGTCCTTGTATCTTTGAGCGATCTGGTCGGCTGTGTAGTCCGTATAATACCCTTTTCCCACGGGCAGACCTTCCTCTCTGCCAAGCCTCTCGATCAGTCCCTGAACTTCATCTCCTCCTACCTCGCTTGGATTCAACAAGTTACAGGCGACCTCTATGACTCCTTCCCCGTGCACCAGCGCCATTGTTTGCACCGAAGTCAAGCCCCCTCCCCTCTCGCTCGCCTTCCTCGCCACTCTCTTCACTGCCTTGAGATCCGTTGACATGACTGGCACGTTGTAGTTACTGACCCACCCGCACGCCCCAACTGCTACAACCCCTTTGGCTTTGCTCACCTCTTGTGGCCCTGCGTCTGGCTTCACCGGGGCCACCTCCAGCTCCAACCCACCTGCCCACTCGCGCCCCTCCCTGTTCGCCTTGAAGTATCCCAGCTTCCTTCTTATCGAATCCAGCGTGCACTGCTCCTCTTGTGCTGCTCCATATAGATATGTAGGAACTGCAAGAACGTACGTGGGACTATAGGGATTATTGCACATATCAGCAATGATCACACTCTGCCTATCACAAACTACACATCAACTGAAGCATACAGGGAATGTTTGTTCTGCGACTACTGGGGTCCTCTCTCTCAAGTACTAACCTCGGAGAATGGAGCCGATGTCCATAGCTAGGGATTTGGCAACGGCAGAAACTTGCTCGATAGAGGTTTGAGATAAGGGGTGAAAGCATATGTGGTCGACCACTCCAAGCCGGGGATGGGATCCACAGTGCAACTCGAGGTTGATTGTGTCGAGAGCAGTCTTGACCATTGCAAAGACCGCATTCTTGAGGGGAGAAGATGAACCGCTGTGAGCAAGCGTGGATACAACAGTGTAGCCAACCCTGCCATAAGCAGCGTCTTCAAACTTGTTGACGATTGCAGCAGGTGGGAAAGGCTTCGCAGCTCTCTCAATGGCTTCAAGGGCTGTCTTATTCCGCGCTTCAGATATGTAAACCTTGCAACAACCAAGCATTTCTCTCCTCAACATCTCCTCCGACCTACGTAAATTAGATGTTGGTTTGTTACTACACGTCTATGGTGGCTAAAAGAAGCTGTGGCATCGTTATCCACACCACAATTAGATCTGTGGCCAGCATTCGAAATAGGACAAACCAATAAAACCAAGTTCATACATATATATTTATTTTTGTCTACAGAAAAAGAGAGACTTTGAGAAAAAAAGAGGAACTTCGAGAGAAAGAGAGGGACTTTGAGAAAAAGAGAGAGACTTTGAGAGAACAAAAATACATACAAGAGGAGAGTGTTATTAGAAGTCGAGATTGTTGGAGGGGTTGGGGTATCCCTTGTAGACCAATTGTTTCTTGGAAATGCCGAGGGAGGCGCAAATGATGTTGAATTTGAGTCGGAGAGCATCCTTGATCTCGTCTTTGCTCTCGTCCTCGGGATCCAAGAGCGGGAACTTATCGAGCAAGGCTTGGAAATCATGGAGATGCTTGTGGAGCTGAGGAGACAAGTCAGCACAAGAGTTCCAGAGACAAGAGCAGCCCTTGTAGAAACCGAGCAGCTCGCCTGTCTCGAACCCAAGTTTCAAACCCAGATGACGAGCGTCTTCCCGACCCGACACGAGACCCGCTTCGTAACCCTCTTCGAAGCCTTGTTGAATGTGTGTTTCCTCTAGGCGCAATATACAATCCAAGAAATCTTCCTTGATTTCGGAATTCATTGAGATCCCTAATTGATCGGTTTGGATTAACAAAGATTGAACAATGAGGAACGAGAAAGAGAGGAACGAAAACTCACCAACTGATGATGATAGCTCTCTCTCTCTCTCTATATCAGGATTGATGCAGCAGCAGAATTAGAGGAAGTGAGAGACGACGAATTGTTTTTATTTTATTTTATACGTTTGATAATAATTTAGGGCAAAGGAGAAAGGCCCTTTCATGGATTTGTTTATTATATTTGGGTCAGAAAATTAGCGGCCCAACTCACTCAATCTAGTAAACACAGTGAGAAAATTTATTGGATTTTAAATGGGCTAAACGGATTTGGGCCACTTTAAATGGGTAGGGTCTAAACAGGTCAAAAAATTAAACTAGACAGGGTTTTAAATGGACAGGGTGTTAATGGGTGGAGTCTATTGGCCCAACACGCTCAATCTAGTAAACCCAATGAGAAAAATTTATTGAATTTTAAATGGGCTAACGGATTTGGGCCACTTTAAATGGGCAGGGTTTAAAGGGGTCAGAAAATTAAACAACTTAAATGGACAAGGTTTTAAATGGGCAAAGTGTTAATGGGTGGAGTATAAACGGGTCTGGGCCCAACACGCTCAATCTAGTAAACCCAGTAGGAAAATTTATTGGATTTTAAATGGGTTAAACGGATTTGGGCCACTTTAAATGGGCAGGGTCTAAACATATCAGAAAATTAAATAACTTAAATGAGTAGGATTTTAATGGGCAGGGTGTGAATGGGTGGAGTCTAAACGGGTCAGGGCCCAACACGGTCAATCTAGTAAACCCAGTGAGAAAATTTATTGGATTTTAAATGGGCTAAACGGATTTGGACCACTGTAATTGGGCAGGGTCTAAGCATGTCAGAAAAATTAAACAACTTAAGTGAGTAGGATTTTAAATGGGCAGGGTGTTAATGGGTGGAGTCTAAACGGGTCAAGGCCCAACACACTCAATCTAGTAAACCCAGTAGGAAAAATTTATCGGATTTTAAATGGGCAGGATCTAAGCATGTCAGAAAACTAAGTAACTTAAATGGACACAATTTTAAATGGGCAATAAGTGGAGTCTAAATGGGTCTGGGCCCAACACTCTCAATCTAGTAAATCCAATGGAATAAAGTTCTTGAATTTAAAATGGGCTAAACGGATTTGGGCCACTATAAATGGGCAGAATCTAAACGGGTCAGAAAATTAAACAACAGAGAGAGAAAGAGAGAGGAGCATTGAATGGTGAAAGCTGTAAAACGAGTGGAAGCAAGTAGGGTGGTGAAGTATTGATTATTTCTTTCTGCTACTCCTGTTAACAAGTGTTTCGTGATAAGCAAAAGGAGAATAAGATGCATCTCAAAATTTTCATAAATAGATTAGTCTTGAATAACAACAAAAGGGTCTTCTAGGGGTAGGCAATCAAGCCACATACAATGGCAAGTAGCTTGATTCCGTTAAAACCAAACAAACAAATGAATTAAACAAAGATGGGAAGGACGTTGGCTGGTTGGTTCATCAGTGGTAAGATTTGAGCACAGCGCCGCAGAAGTGACAGACGATGGCCTTCCAAGCTTTTCGGTAAAAGGGAACCCCACAGAATCTTGTGGAGGTTCTCATGTCCGCCACCACTGCTCCTCCTCCGCACCTCGAGCATAAACCGGCTGCCGGCTTCCTCCCCCTCACTTGCTTCCTCTGGTCTACAAGGAAACAGAAGATGGCCATTCTAAGTCTGTAGATTTGATTGATAGTTAGCTTCCGAATGAATGTTGTGTGTTCTTCTTCAGGTTGAAGAGTAGTGGTAACTGGTAAGTGTCTTAAATAGAGCAGTTTCGGGAGTTATCCAACCATTTGGATCGCCGCCGCGTGTCACACCACAAATACAGTTGGCTCGCTGACTTCCCTCACTTCCATTGACTTTCTTTGCCACATTCAATTTTTTTTGTTACATTGAATTTATTTATAATCACCACTTGTGCCACATCTTCTCATCACTCTCAACTGCCTCGCCATTTAAATACGAAAAGCCCATTTCCCCATTAACTATAGTCTATAGCCATTGACTTTTCTCACCCATTTGCCTTGAACAAACTTAAATACCCTATTGTAAGGTTACCCATACGTTAGCCCTCACGTACGTGTTGGCTGATACATCCAACCTTGCGTTGCGTATTTATGATTTCAGAATTTGTTGGGCAAGCAAGAGTAAGAAGTTCAGTTAAGCTTTAGTTTATAGTTGAAATAAAGTAGGAGTGTCAAAAAAAAAAAAAAAAAGGGAGCGAGTGGCGGAGTAAGTAAAATCCCCTAAAAAATTAGAGTAAGAGGAGAGGATATGTTTGTGTGTTATATCTTCGTCTGGGAAAAAAAATGGGAGCTGATGGGTTAAGAAGAATCAAAGGGTCAGAGAGCTGCCATCATCGCTCGTCTTGTTGCCTCCTGCTTCATCTCTGCTGCTTTCCCGCTCCCCCTAAAGTACATGTACACTTGCTGTTCCCACACACACAGCAACACAAACAACTTGTTAACACCACTTTACTTCTTCCTTTCTCTCTGTCTTAAAAACCAACTCTAATGATTAAAATTGATCCACGAAAGAAGGGAACCTGAATAACCCAAATGCTCACAAGTGACTCCAGGCAGAAGAACGCAAACCCAATGAAGTAGAATATCTGCAACAGTTTTGAGTTTTCCCCAAACCAAAGTTAGCAATATTCACCACATCAGTTTCAGATATTTGTTACCTAAGCTTTTCAACTTACCCCGACCAATATATTCCCGCTCAACACGTCAATCGCCGGCAATATTCCCCTGCATGACACAACATCATGATAGATTCCACTTCAGAGCTTACTCTTGCCTCTTTCTTTCTTTCCTTTATTTATAAACTAGTTAGCTACTTACGTCAGCGATTTTCCTTTGAAGATGATTGGAGGAGCCACCGCCGCAAACACACAAAACCCTATGTGAAACTGCATTTTTTATTTTATTTCAAGCTTTTTAACTCTCTCTCTCTTTTCCATATGTCAAACCCAACAAAATGTTCAATAACCCGAATGGAAAACTCACCAGATACGTGAAGAAAAACCATCCAAACTTCAGAGCACTATCAGTCCTGCACACAACCAATTCAACTCAAACTCACTCTCAACTCATGTCATTTTTTACTCTTTGTTAAGATGCTACGTATCTGGAACTTAAAACTTTTATTTTAATTTTTTGGTTCTCTCTTTAAACGAAGGAAGAAGTACACACCACAGCATCAGATAGAGTTACAATATTTAGAAGATATAATCTTAAGTGGCATGGATACGCCACCTACCTCATGGCACGATAAAGAGGGCGATACCACATAACATATGCTCCAGGAACCCCCGATATGAAATAGATAATAGCCAGAAACCATATTGTTGGACCTACATCCAAAGTACACGAGTCAGCAGATAAGCATCATATACAGGCTCAATCTGCTTGGCAAATTTTTAACAGTTCCAAGACTAACCTTCTCCTTTAATCCACGCGGTGGTAACTGCCACAATGTTCCATAACAGGCACACCACAAGACCTGCCAAACAGAGAAGTTTACAAATAATTCAAGAAAATCCACCTCTTTTGCAGTTGCAGATGGATTGCTCATTTGAGAAAGAGAAAACACATACCCAGCAATGATGTGAATGCAACATACTGGACTCTCTGCAGATGAATGGGTATCTCATTCGAAATGTCATGATGGATGAGAGGAAAAAAAGGTGGCCAGTTTTTCTCTTCTATCACAATCCCGGCTACCAAAACGAAGACAATAGCATCAGCATTTCACATGGAACAAATTATCAGGTCTTGTCTACAAAAGCTAAAATTGACAAATATACCTTGTGCTATAGCATCTTCTTTCCGCTTGAGTTCCTGGACAATAGTAACACAAAGGATTTTAGAAGCCACAAAGACAAATATACTTGAACCATATTAGATAATACGAGAAGGGTGACAAGCTAAACATGCTTTCACCTATAAAAAAGTGATATGCAATTAGATGAAAACTAATTAGTGTTGGTTCAAGCAAAATGAAACACCAACAGTTGACCAGTTCGAGAGCTGAGAATAGTTGGTTACAAGCCCAATAAGTGATTACCTGCTCCCGCCTCTTCAATTCAGCCTCTTTTGCGTGGAGTTCCTTCTCCTTGGCTTTCAGATCCTACAAGTTGACAAAAGCCAATTAGTCTCAGGGATATATACATGGAACTTGGGCATCTGTGGCAGTAGAGAAGTACCTTTCCAGAGCCTAGAGGAACATCGATGGTGTCACCGCGGTCATACGGCTCAGGGGGAAGAGGTGAAAGCTTCGATGTTGCAGCTGGAACGGTTCCAGGATTCTGAAAGTTTCAATACAACAAAAGGGAGCGAGAGCAGTTATGGTCTTACGAGGAGATGTTTCTGGGAAAACAAAGGCTAAATGCTAATGGCGGAGATCTATGAAACAAAAAGCCTTTCTCCACCATAATTCATAAACAATAAAACAAGCAATGGAAAGCGTTACACTGATCATCAATGACAATTACAGTTTTGACACTTGTTGTTAATCACCCTAAGCGGATGACGATACGAAGAACACAAGAGAGCGAATAAATCAATCGATTCGACCACGTTCCTTGATTGTGCATTGAACCCGAAAATTGGATCCCAGGAATTGGAGTAACAATACAAGAAGCGAGGCTAGATCTAACATTGCAATTCCACAATCAGAAGAGGCAGATCTAACATTGCAATTCCACAAGCAGCAAAGAGGAACATAAACGCGAGTGGAATCGATAGAATCAAATTACCGCAAAGGGATTGACCTCGCCGTCGTCAAAGGAACTAGACTGGTAGCGAGACATTGCAGCGTACTCCGCAGATCCAGTCCTCTAGGTAAAGAGATGAAAGAAGAAATTCGAGAGAGTTCGTGCGTTTCGCTTCGCTTCGTCTCGCAAATAGTGACAAGCAAGTGTTTGGCGCGTCAAGGGGTAAAGGTTACTCAAGCATTTTGGCTGGTTTACTAAACCAGAAATAACCAGCATTACTAGAGAAAACACAATCGAATTTCTCACATTATTACGATTCTATCTCTGTTTGGATAGGAACAACCAATATTAGCACATTTGCTCATGTATCTAACTAAACGTATTTATGGTGATAGTTATATAAGTTCCTAAAAAAAAGGAAAAAAAAATCTTCCGTAACACATTTGTGATCAAGTCTATTAGTCTATTATGATCAAGTTTTTTATATTTGTTTAAAAATTCTGTCTAGAAAGTAGCATATAGAATCGAAAAACTCAAGAGGCATACATTGGGTGTGCAAATAATAGACTTGAAGCAAAACAAGTAGTTTCGAACAAGGATTTGATAACCAACAATGGTTTCGACAGATATATAATAAGAAAAGAGACAAGCTCCTAAGTCAAACTAGTCGTCTTAACTATCTTCTTCTCGCCATTTCTCCGATCTTCTCTCTGGATCATGTCCGAGAGGTCTTGAACCACTTCTGACATTAGTGGCCTGAACTCTGGTTCCGACTGTCACAGCACATATCTATACTTTTTGACACAATATCTGAGGTGTAAGAAAACATGTGTATATTCTTCTAGTGATGCTTAGCTTACCTGAACGCAACGCGATATCACGTCAGCAAAGTGTGACAGCGACTTGGCCGGATAGTCACCCTTGAGAGATGGGTCGACCATCTTAGCCAATGCATCGATGTCGTGCAGCTGCGGGATTGCCCATCTCACCAGAAACTGCTCTCCTCGATCCCGTTTCCTGCCAAAACGTTCCCTTGATTTGTTTTTTTTCTTTGAAACCAAAAAACCGCAAAATACATCTGAACAACATCTCATTTCCACTCACTTGTCGTATGACTTGCGCCCTGTCAAGAGTTCTAACATTACTACTCCATAGCTGTACACATCACATTTCAACGTATACATCCCATACTCAAACTCTGGAGCTCCATATCCGCATGCTGCCAATAGTTGGCCCGATAACTGAAACACGCACGCATTAACAAGCTTTTGGACTGGTATGCATACAAAGCAGTTTTCTTAGCAGTCGTAGCTTACCTGGCTTACGACACCTGAGGAGAAGAGAGGAGCCAATCCACAGTCTGAGACATGCACCCTCATATCCTCATCGACGAGAATATTCGCAGACTTGAAATTCCTGTGGATACTTGGTGGATCACACGTCTCATGCAGATACCTTGCCACATAAAGAACACACAATTGCATGAATATTGGGCCTACTTTTTGTTCAGAGCCACATTCAAAACAGAGTGCAATGGAACCTACTCCAGAGCTTTTGCAGCTTCCAGTGCCATCCTAACACGGAGATTCCATGACAGTTTTATCTTGAGCCTACCATCAGAATGCAGCAAATCGTGCAGTGTACCATTCCTGCAATACTCGTAGATCAGAAGCCTCTGTCCGTGCTCAGAACAGAAACCCACGAGTTGGACAACGTTGGCATGCCTGATTTTCTCTATGTTACTCACTAGCTCCACGAATTTCCCTTCTTTTTCGTCACCGCAAGACTTGTTATCCAACTTCTTCACAGCCAAGAGCTATCAAAGAAAGCAAAAGAAACTTTCATCAGTTGCACATAAAGAGAGAGAGAGAGAGAGAAGGAGAATGTAATGCATACCTTTCCACCTGGAAGCTCCGCCCTGTAGACACTCCCAAGCATGCCACTTCCAATAAGATTTTCCTGGGAAAAGCTATTTGTGTGTTGTTGTAGAGATGCGACCGTAAAATGCTTCACAGATGTTATAGTGGACGGCTTTTGCAGGGATGCTCTAGCAGGTTCCAAGGCCATTGGGATGACCCTTTTGATAGGTGAGGCACGCAACACATTCATCTCATTGCCACAGCTCATGTCTATCTCGTGCATCGATGCTCTTCTTTCACTTCCTACGCTTCTTTCTGGCCCACCCTGCAGCTTCAGAGCACCTCCTCCTCTCTCTGACACTTTCGGTTTGGCCTCTTTGTCTTTTGGAGGAAAACAAAAAAAAAATGATTTTCTTGAAATCTAATAACTAGAGAAACCAAAAATATGATAATTCACCTTTATTGAATGTATTGGATGGAGGAAGCACGGAAGCATCTCCTGCCCTCCCAAATTCACCAGTTAGGTGCGGTTTGGATAGCTGCTCGCCATTTTTGCCTTTGCCGAGACATTTTCTCCCACAAAGTAGACATGCAAAGGCCAAAACCACAAATGAAAAGGCCCCGAGAATGGATACCCAAACAATCCTTTTAGTTGGTGAGGAGGCTGGGTGATCGAAAGGAGGTGATCTCACGTGTGTCTGACCACCACCATTTGATGGTGGTCCTAAAAATGGCCGCTTAGGTGATGTTGCAGGTGAAGATGTTGCAGGTGAAGGCGAGGGAGCAACAGTGACATTAAACAGGTTATTGCTTTTTCTGCATCATATATAATAGTTTGTCAAAGCAGAAGGCTAATACTCTGACAAACAAATAGCGGAATCTGCAAATGTAAGGTTGGGCACCTGAAATTTGGTACGCCCAACAACTTGTCTGGTATAGGCCCATTGAAGAGGTTGTTCTCTACATTCCTGCACAGTTATAAAAGAGAGTAAGCAAACATATAGCAGCTGATAAGAAAAGAAGATGGAATCGCTAAGGATTTGTACAAGTCCTTGAGGGGAAGATCGTGTAGAACATCGAGCTCTCCTGAGAGGTGATTGTTCTGCAGAAGCCTGAAGCATGAGGAACCACAAGGACAAAGTGAGTGAGACCTACTCAACACAGACAAATGTATATGCAATGCGAAGGAGAAACTCACAAGGTTGTAAGAGTGGAAAGATTCTGCATGGAAGGAGGCAATGGTCCACTCAGATTGTTGCTAGACAGATCTCTAACGCATATGTTGGATGTTCAGTTACACACATACATAAAAAGCAAAGTTAACGCAGCTGATTGATTTAGGAAGCAGACCTACAGATTGATCATACCGCCAAGGTCTTGAAAGACATCGGGTATCTTGCCAGACAAAAGGTTATTGTTTAAAGACCTGTAAGACGAAACAAGTCTTACACGCTTATTACCACCCGTAGAGTAGAGATATAGAGACAGGGTAGACTTACAAGACTGACAAGGATTTCAAGGAGGAAAGAGATTCTGGGATGGTTCCTGTAAACTCGTTGCCTGAAAGAAAGCTGTACTAACGATATGTTGAATAACATAAAAAGGAATTTGGTTGAAGGAAGCATGTGTGTGAACATACAAGTTGTGCAAAGAAACAGGCAATGAGGAAGGGATACTTCCTCCGATGTGATTGTTGCTGAAATCTCTGAAACAGAACTGCACAAGGTAAATTGAAGGGAATATCATGAAAACAAAAGGGATGTAGCAGAAGAAGAGGAAGTACTACATTGTTCTGACAGAGGTAAACATGTTTAAGCCAACGCCTAGCTCTCCCACAAGATTGGCGTCGATGAGAACTCTGAAAGGTAAGAAGAGGGATTGATATAAAGATGAGAGAAAAAAAGTCGGAAGAAGAAGAAGAAGAAGGAGGTCAAAGTAAGTACATGGTCTCAACTTGGGAAGCATTACAAAGGACACCTTGCCAGCCCTGGCCACAAGGGTCGCCCCCAGATGCAATCCAGCCGGGGAGAGGAGGTGACTCCAGAGCAAGGTAGAGGCTATTGATGGCCGCAACTGAAGCAAAGCAAATTAGTTGAGCAGTGTATGTAGCCATACTAAGACCCATGAAACAAAGAGGGAACTGAGCTCACCATCGTCTGGATTGGTGAGGGCTAGTGAAAGGGAGAGATGGGAGATGAGGAAAAACGCCACGAAACAGTACTTGTTGTCTCTCCCAGATTTCATTCCACTAAGAATTGGATTTGAAGTGAGTCGTTGAAATACAAAAACTTAACAGCTAAGAATTGGAGATAGTAAAAAGGGGGTAAGAGAAAACTGGGTTTATCTTCTGTTGCAGAATAGAGAAAGAGAAGAGAGTCTTTCTCGTCACTCCTCAGTGTGACTTGTGTGAATGCGAATTCACGTTTTCAGTTAATGGGGCCCCCACTCCACTTTTTTGTTCTTCAGCGAGACAGCTTTTGTACTATTCACGTGGTCATCCTTTTCTTGATCTTGTCTTTTGGCCTTTTGTCAATCTCTTTGTTTTTAAATGTTGAAAGACATTTATTCTCTCATACATGATGATGAATTGATGATGCAGCTCGCTCCGCCTTAGGATAATATTGTGTCTTTTACCAGTCAAATGTAACGGGCCTTAACCATAAGAAATGTAATAGGCCTTTGCTTATAAATGGGCCGAATGAGACCTTCTCCGTGAGAAAGAGGTTTCACCATCACCTTAAACTTGTTGGGTTGCCGTCGATCGAGATCCTCCTAAATCGGACTTTTCCTTCTCACAGAGATGCAATCCCGCTCCGCCCTCGTCTCCCGATTCCTTCGACCGGCGTCGAGATTCTTCTCCTCTTCATCTCCGGTAACCCCCGTCACCGTAACGCAATCCCCCAGGAGCCTCGAGGCTCTGCGAGCGCGGCTGGCGAATGAGTCGCCTTCCCTCACCGATTTCATTCACGGAGAAGATATTACCTATTCCGTGGAGGTAGGGACCAAGAAGAAGCCCCTCCCCAAGCCTAAATGGATGAAGGAGTCTATTCCCGGCGGCGAGAGGTATGTCCAGATCAAGAAGAAGTTGAGAGACCTTAAGCTTCATACCGTCTGCGAGGAGGCTAAGTGTCCCAACCTCGGCGAGTGCTGGTCTGGTGGAGAAACTGGAACCGCCACCGCCACCATTATGATCCTCGGGGACACATGTACACGCGGCTGCAGGTTCAATCCTTCATCCTTTTCTTCTTCCACTTTCTTCCATCTGTGTATTTCTGTGAAAGAAGAAGTGCTTCTTCTGTTTTAGGTTTTGTAACGTCAAGACATCGCGTACACCTCCACCGCCTGACCCAAATGAACCCAACAATGTGGCTGAAGCGATCGCATCCTGGGGGGTCGATTATGTCGTCATCACCAGTGTAGATCGTGATGATTTGCCTGATCAGGGGAGTGGTCATTTTGCAGAAACTGTAGAGAGATTGAAGACATTGAAGCCCGAGATGTTGATAGAAGCTCTAGGTAATGGTGTTTGCGCATTGAGGTTTCCGGATTTGATCATGGATTTTGAATTTGAATTTGAATTTGATTTCGTTTTCCATGACGTAGTCCCTGATTTCCGTGGAGACGGTGGATGTGTTGAGAAGGTGTCCAAGTCAGGGCTTGACGTCTTTGCCCACAACATTGAGACAGTGGAAGAGCTCCAGCGTTTTGTGCGGGATCATCGTGCTAACTTTGAGCAGTCACTGGATGTGCTTAGGATGGCTAAGCACCATGCACCTGCAGGCACCCTAACAAAGACCTCAGTCATGCTGGGATGTGGAGAGACCCCTGATCAGGTGGTGAAGACAATGGAGAAAGTGAGAGCAGCAGGTGTTGACGTCATGACATTTGGCCAGTATATGCGACCCTCTAAGCGCCACATGCCAGTAGCTGAGTACGTGACACCTGAGGCCTTTGAGAGGTATCGGCTTCTCGGCATGGAAATGGTAAAGCTCCCTTCCTTCTTGTTTTTCTACAGTTTTGCTTTATATTTACTGAATGGATGGAGAAGGCTTAATGGGATGTGCGGATATGGTAAACAGGGATTCAGGTACGTCGCATCAGGGCCAATGGTGAGGTCGTCGTACAAAGCGGGAGAGTACTACATCAAGTCGATGATAGAGGCTGATCGAGTTGCTCCTCCTTCTTCTTCCTCTCCATAGATACTCATTCCAAGATTACACTATCGTATGTGAATTCTTTCACTTTATTGCTTTGTTTATTCTGCGGGTAACCCATTCACAACACTTCCGCAACGTTCTGAATAATGATGAAAAATTGTAATACTATCATTGTCCAATATACATTGTGTATCTAGTCTCTCTTTCTCTCTTTCTCTTTCGCTCGCATACTATCATTCTCCTTCTTGAAGGCTTCATCTTTCTCTGATATCTACAACTGCTCTTTTAGGAGAGTATCGTCCACTTTCTTCGAGCTCCAGTGTTGAACTCGAGACAGTAGTGGTGGGAACTAATCAGTAATCACTAACTGAATGCACCGTTTTTTAATTGTAGACTGTAGAATGAAGAAATACAGATAATTCTTTGCGTATCTTTCGTTTTATCTTTGAGAAGGCCTACGCAATTCCCGTGTCTTTTATATATAGATGTTGCTGATCCTAAACTCTGGGATTATAAAATCCACCATTAAGATTTGGCGCAGGCTGAGCGATGAATGCTGGGACAAATCTACATACATTATCAACCTCCATCTGTCACTTCGTTTCATCTTCCTCAAGATATTGAGTGACGGGTACGTCAACCCTTCAATTGATAAGGTCTACTGATTGATTTTTTACTGGTTCGTGTCAGTGGGCTCTGTGTGCTAAGTGTGTTTGGTTGTTTTCTCGCTTATCCCTTCTGCAGTTTTGTAGTTTTGTATTAGCGTATCATATGGTAATGAGTGGTTTTCAGCTTGGTCATTCATTGTCTAGGGAATAATTGATTTGATTAGCTTCAATCTGATTAGTGTATTCATCACAGTTTCAAGTTTGATGGTTTACTGTTCTGCATCTAATCTTTTGTCATCAGTAGTATCTACTGATAATTGGAGGAGTACATGTATCTGCAAAACATTTTGATTACTGAATAATGGTATGTAAACAAATGGGACGACATAAACTAAAGAACATGACACAAGATTCTCTCTGTTTTTTTCAGCAGATAATATAGAGAGATGGCAAACATGTGACTCTAATGTAACGGCTAGTAAACCAGAAGGTTACATACAATCCAAGACTCAAGACACGAAAGTAGACCCTTTTGCATCTAAGAAATGCTTATTTGTTGACAGATTGGAAAATACTCAGGGTAGTGGCACTGGTGGAACTTGGCCGCTGGTTCCAGCGCCAGCTCCAATGGTCGGGGTTGGAGTTTCAAATCCAGGATTTGGGACAAGCGTATCATCGCCACCAGGGAGTTGGGTGCGAGTCCCGCCGCCTTGTCCACCACCATATGATGGGATAGACCCACCAGTGAGGGGAGCTCCGGTGACAGGATTGTAAGGGAAGAATGGCTTCTTACACTTGGGAGGAAGCAAGAACCTTCCAACACCAGGGATGAGAACAGTTGGTCTGGGCTCAATGGTGACAAGAAAGTCAGGGTGTTTGACATCAGTGGTCTTGTGGGACTTGGGAATGTGACGCAGTCCACTCACTTGCTCTGCAGATCCAAGCAGTAGGCTAAGAAGCACAATAGCGACTGCGGCGGTGAGCAGGGATGAAGCCATTTGATTTTATCGCAGTGAGAAAAATCGGGGAAGGTAAAGATGAAGGTAGTGTGTTTGTTTGATCTTGTGGAGGGAAGGTTATATATATATATAGTGAATCATTGAGCTAATTGTGGGAACATTTAACGAAGGTGAGATGAGATGGTTGAAAATAAATAGATGGTGTGTAACAAATGGGTAGAGAGTAGTGGAAGTGTGCTAATTATTAGATAGCCTCCAAAGTTTGTTGGCAACAACGTCTAACGTACCCTTTTCTACAACCTTAGTTGTTGCAGTGTGAAATGCGGCCTCGTGGCCCATAATACACTTGAAGAGCCCAATTAGTCGAGTGGCTTCTCTCAGTTTTGTCAAATGACACTTTTGAGTGGCTTATCTCGTTTCACAAAACTGTGTTTAAAATTTCGACCCTACTAAACTAAATGGAGGAATTAAAGCACCAAATGAAGTAAAAAACAGGAAATAAAGCAAAAAAAAGATGCACTTGATACGTACACATCCTCTCATGTATCCGGGAGAAGCAAAAGGAAAACATAGAATTAAGTGTAGGAGAGGCTCATCATGGGACGGGGTAGGATTTGTTGTTGCACATGCACTTATAAGCCATGGGACAAGTCTCAGCCTCTTCAAGCGTTGCACATACGAAGCTAACCATCACAAGACGGCATGGGGAGCATGAGCCACACGCGTGTGAGCAGTCCGGCAACCTAGACCCAGCCACCTGCACCGTGTCCGGCCTCCTCTGGCGCTTTAGTGTCCCCGTCGCCGTTCCCACATGATGATGACCTGCGCACGCACACAAACGTATATGAACAAGTTAAAGAGCGCTGATGAAAAGAGGTGGGGAATTATATACGGGAGAGTGAGAAGAATAGCATAACATACTTTGATTGTGGGGCGTCGTCGGGAAATGTCTGCTAGCGAAGAGAGAGCCGGAGAAGAAAGAGAGGAAAAGGACAAGGACAAGGAGAAGAAGAGACTTCATGTAGATATATTGCGAGTGCAGTAAATTGAAAGTTGAGAATTGAGATATGAATTGTAGTATGTGATTCGTACGGCGAGAAAGAAGGTGTATATATGATATGAAGATCGTTAACATAGCGTTTAATTAGGAAATTGAAGAGACTCACGGTAGAGAAGAGGAGAGTCACATGAAAACAAGATCGAACGTATGAAATGATATAAATTTCGAGTAGAATCACAAGAAGCGAAGCCTAATTAAAAACTTGAACTTCATTCGTGCTGCTTTGGCGAGTGTCATGAGCTTCCTCTGTGCAAAACTGAAAGACGCACTTTTGTATGCAATGCACCTTCAATTTGCCTTCTCTGGCCCTTCTTTTGTGTGACCTCCATTAATGCCCCCAATTAATGTTTTTTTTATCAAAGGAAAGAAAAAGAAAAAAAAATTAGACATTTGATATATATGAGACAGAGACGGGAGGGACATTGCTTTTTTGTTATAACTTGGGTGCATTTAACGAATTATTTGGAATTCAAGATATTCGTTATGTTGTTCACCTTTAAGTACAAGAACAAAAATTTGCAACCTTGATACAAAAAAAAAAAAGAAATATATATATATAAACTAGCCCACAATTTGTATTGTAGGGAAACCCTAATCAGATCGAAATTGTATGGGAAATGTTTCTATTTTTTTTAATCTTGATAAGGGTAAAGATGATTATAGAAATTTCATGAATTGACTGACAATATCACAGAGGAAGAAATAACCGCCGAGTGCCACTTCCTCTACCCCACCATAATTGTGATCAAACCCCACTTCTCCTACAAACTCTCAAATCCTCTGTTTCACACCCATTTTATGAGCAATTCATCATTACAACATAGGAATAGAATACGAGACAATGTTTGGTTTTCTGTTGGGATGGCGAAAGGCCTCCAAGTGTAATATAGCAGTGAAGCAGCTTCAGTGTCGTCTAAAGCTGCTCAAGAACAAGAAATATGCCATTTCCTCACATTTGCGCCATGACGTAGCCCAGTTGCTCCGCATTGGTGAACGAAACCGTGCTCTTCGTCGGGCTCACCATCTCTTCCTTGATGAGTACCTGATGTCCCTCTACCACTTGCTGCTTCACTTCTCCGACTTCATCCTCCTCCACAAAGAACTTTCTGATGGCATCGACGAAGCGGTTTCAACACTTGTCTTCGCCTCTGCGAGGTGTGGAGACCTGCCTGAGCTACGCACCTTGAGGCTTCTTTTTGGGGAGCGTTACGGGCAACCCTTTGTGGCTACCGCTCTCCATCTTCTCCCTGGCAATCGTGTCAACCCTCAGGTTCGTCCATGTTCATTTCTCACATTTCTTCCTCTCTTCCCTTTATCTGTCTATCGAGCCTTGCAAGTACTATACGACATACTCGATTCCAGGCTATAGAGAAACTCTCCATAAAATCAGTACCGGATGATGCCAAGTCCAAATTGTTGGCTGAGATAACAGAGGAGTTCGGCCTCCGTCTACAAGTTTTGGAACTCGAATACACTCCTGGATTTGACAAACAGGTACTTTTTTGTATCATCTCTGCATGTCAATGTTGCGAGTAGACAATCTCGTGCCTGTTTCGTGTGTGTGTGTGTAGGTAATAGACAGCAGGGAGCCAGAAGAAGAGAGGGAAGTTATGGGTTTCGATGTAACCTCTGCACCGCCGTGTCCATCGCAAGATGCTCATAGCGAAGCAGAATTGTATAAGTTCACTCTTAGGGATGTGGGTGTGAAGGAAAAACAAGAAGAGAGTCGTAGTAAAGCATCCACGGATCAAAGAAAAGCATTTGATGAGGATGATTGCATAGGGGAGGAAGTGGTCGAAAAAGATCAGAGAGTATTCAGATTCAGAGAGACTAAAGACGAGAGAAAGAGGTCAAGGAGGAGATCAAGATCAGCATCAAGCAGTCCAATCGCCGAAGACGTGGAATGTTGGAAGTACTGCTACAAGGGAAGGAGAAGGCGTCAAAAGGAAGATCAGTGTTACCATATAGTTTACAACGTGTTTTCAATGTGGCCGGATCAAAACGAAAAAGGAGAAGTAGAAAGAGGTCTCAAGGAAGCTAAGCATGTTCATCCTAAGCTTCCCTACTACGATCAGATTGCTGCTCACTTTACCGCCCTTAGGAACAACAACGTCAAATCTTAATTCCTCGCTCTTATTAATTCTTTCATACGAACAAAAAAAAAATGATCCATTTATTGTTGTGTGTCACATGCACTCAATAAAAAAAAAACAGATTAAGGCGGGATCTAAAACATAGTTAACAAATGATAGTTGTGCTAGTTTTTTCCTCACTCTACGTGAAGCCTATATTAGTTTTCTACACCTTTGATCTATAATGCGAACCTTCTTCTTACGTTCTGTTTGCTATAAGTGGACAAAAATATCGTAGGTCAAATAGCTTAGTTACTAAAGTTGATGATATATTAGATTTAGATATGAAACACTCATTATAATAATGGGACAAAACAGTGGTTTGGGATTTGACATTCGTTTGCATGCTTAATCAAACTACCAAATAACTTTAAATAAGAAGAAAAAAATAGTAATAGAATGATGGACCACGTTATAAATATAAAATATCTTAATAAGACTACTACAGTTCTAAATGGATAAATCAAAGGTGAAACAAGTTTTTGGTTGAATGAAACGGACTAGGTTTTATGATTGGAGAAAGAGAGAGAGAAGGAAAAGTGGAGAAGTGGAGAAAGCTGACCCATTCCTTCACCGACTTTTAAGCTTTAAGCTGTTGACTTATTCTGATGACATGGACCCTTTTCTTTTATCTTTGTTTTAAAATTTGGAGTTCTTATTATTATTACTTTCTTCTGCCGAAAGTTTAGGAATTTATCCCATCTCCTTGCGTCCCTTCGATACGCATTACAACTCGATACGCATTATAACGGTTAATTTATTCAACCTTAGACAGTCTATAAATAGAAAACAAAAAAATTAAATTGATCCTAAGGCTCAGTCGATGTTGGATGAGATATATGTATTTATTTTTGTGTTTCAAACTTTTTTTTGTCGGTTTTGGTTGTCTTTTGTAGGTGGAGTTTATAAAATGAGAATTAGAGAGAATAAGTAAAGTCAAAGCCTCGAAGGTGACTTTGACTACCAATTGGTAACCTTTGGGAGATGGTGATAAATGATAATAAGCCTTATTAAAATAGAGGTGATGTCGTAATCAATTGCTTCAATCTCATCTCATGTCATCCTTAGCCGACCATACTATTACCAATGCGTGCAGGCACACATATATAATAATTAATAAGAAAAAGAAAGAATGTCTCACCGTCCAAAAAAGAAAAGAAAAGAAAACAGAGGAGTTTCTGAGATATTTTGGTTAGTTGATATAAGTCAACATCTCAGTTAAGGCACTGATATAAAAAGGTGAAAACGATTTCATAACCATTCAACACATCTCTCTCTCCCGCTCTTCCTCTGTTTTCCACAAGACAAAGAGGAAGCGACTGATTCCTCTTCTCTTTTTACATACTTCCAGTGGGTCATCTTCTTCTATCTCGTTATCTTGGGAAGATAGAGAAAGAGAGAGAGAATCATCTATGGCTAGTGCTAAGAACAAGGGAAAATCCATCAGGAGTCTAAGTTACAACGAAGGAGAGAAAATGGATGAGATGGAGTTGGAGGAGGAGCTCCGATTTAGTAGCGGCAAGAGTAAAGATTCGGGTTCTGGATCCGACATTTGGAAGCCGTTTCTCGGAGAAGCTTCCTCGACGTCCCAGAGAAGCCTTAGAAAGACAAGGACCCTTGACCGGCACAGTCCTTATCTCTTATCCCCCTCTTATGCGACTCCTCCTGATCAGCCGCCAACAGCAACTACATCCCCTGTCACTGTGACTTTTCCCTTTTCCCTCGCTCCAATTATTCAGAATCAGCGACAGTTTTCTTACCCGAATCCGAGTGACCCGGCAAGGCAGACACAGATGATCTCCTTCGGTCCTCAAGTGCCATTCTTAAACGCACAGCAACATCAACAGCAACAGCAACAGCTGCTGCAGTACTGGAGAGACATTCTGAATCTGAGCCCGAGCGGAAGAATGATGATGCTGAACATGCTAAGACAAGAAGGTGATCTGCCACTTGCACTGCAACTGGGGAGGGCCCCCATCCAACCCTTCAGCGCCACCAAGCTGTACAGAGGGGTCAGACAACGGCACTGGGGGAAATGGGTCGCCGAGATCCGTATGCCAAGAAACAGGACACGTCTCTGGCTCGGCACCTTCGATACAGCAGAGCAAGCCGCCATGGCCTACGACCGGGAGGCCTTCAAGCTGAGGGGGGAGACCGCCAGGCTTAATTTCCCGGAGCTTTTTCTGAATAAGCAAGAGTCGATTCCGGTGCATGGGAAACAGTACGATACGCCAGAGGCCAGTGAGGAGACGAGGGAGAATGATTCGAGTGTGACAGTGGATGAGGTGAGTGAGGAGACGGGGTGGGCTGAGGCATGGTTCAATGCCATTCCAGAGGAGTGGGGACCTGGAAGCCCTCTCTGGGATGATTACCACTTTCCCATTTCTTCTTATAACCACAAGGAGAAGGGAAATGGTCATTAAACTCTTCTTCTGATATTTTACAAGCTAGTTTGCAGCTTCACTTGTTTAGTTACTTGTATTTGATTGTTTAGTTACTTGTAATTGATTGACTTGTGTGATTTGGATGGAGACACTTTTTGTCATCTCCCTCCCTTATTCCCACATCCTGATTCTCTAAATACTCTTGTTTTTTAGTCCATCTTGGATGCACATACTGTTCTTAATGGGGTTTAGCTGCATCCACATGTGGTAGATTGCAATTTTCTTACATTTATGGAAGATATCATAACCTCATAAGTATCCACCAAATTTAAGGGCTTTTTTTCAAATGTTTTGTGTGTTTGAGTAAATAAATACATGAATAAACTTTTTTGATAATATGAAATACAATATTGGTCGATAGATTTTCCTATTATAAATCGTCTCTAACTAAAAAAAGACACCGGAAGTGTTATGATGCTAAGAGCAGGTGCAACGCTAGTTTTTTAACCAGTATTTTAATTTAAAAAAAATATTAAAAAAAATAAAAAAGTAAGAAATCTGAAAAGAAACAGATCTTATAACTCTCATTTAAGAGCTGACTCTTAGATTTTTCTACACATATGTCATCATATAATTGGTTTATTTTGTTTATATTTTTAAAATTTATTTATATTATTATATTATATTAATATTTTATATTTAAGAAAGATATGTTTCTAGCATTGCACATGATCTAACAGGGTAAATGATATGTAGGTTTGAATGATATGTAACATGTTGAGTGATTTCATTAATTGCATATCATTTATGATATTAAGCATTGGATGATAAAAAGTAAAAATCAACATACTATTTTCTAATTCATTTCTTTAGAGAAAAAAAATCTATTCATCTAATATATACTAATTTTTTAGAATTTTGAGTTTATTCAATTTTCAATTTTCCTATCTTCTTGATTCTGTTAGTTTATTATTCAGTTTTGCTGCTATTCAACTATTAAGTTGACGTACCTGTCAAAACTTATAACAGATTGGGGAAATTATCTCATACGTTTAGTTTACATTTAGTTTTCTTTAAAATTATATAGGTCTTACCATTTTGGCTCAACCAAAGAGTTATCATATAGAGACTCTGATGCAGCGCATCTTAACCTTGTCGAACACGTTTTGGCTTTTACGTTCGACAAAGGATTTGGCTTTTTCCTTTTTTATGTTTTTCCTTTTCATTAGCATTTTCTTTTTCGTTTAAAGTTATGTTTCCTAAATCTAGAGCTTTGCTTATCTATATATAGACCTCTAGGTTTGTTAAGAGGGACACATTGAATTGAATTAATAAAGAGTTGTTTTGATCTATCGAGCTTTGCAAAGAAGCGTATTCTTTCAAATCTCAAACCTCTGTTTTTCGTGCAGCAAAACAGAGTTTCTCCTCTGCTTTTCGTGTAGAAAACAGAGATCATTCTTGTTTCTCTAACTTCTAGGGAACTTGAGAAACAAGTCTTTTCTTTTGTGCTTCCGCTCTATCACTTTTGGTATCAGAGACTCGTCGTTCCTGCAGTTCAACATGCCGCCAAAACAGCAGAACAAAGACGCTCACCAAGATGATTGGGTTGAATTACGCAGAACTATCCAAGAACTGCAGATAAGTATGCAGACATCTATTCAACAAACTCACGAGTCTATTCAAAGATCCTTGCGTGAAGTGGTGACTACGCTAGGTCAACAACAACACCAAAACGATCCTATTGGTCAAGACGATGATGTTGCTGATGACAATCCGTTTGCCCCCCTTCAAGCTCGTGACCGACCTCGTAACGGGAATCGTGATCAAACATTCAACGACAGATATGACAATCGCTGGGAATCAGGGTTCAAAACTGATTTACCAGAATTCGTAGGAAGTATTCGTGGAGAAGAACTTATCGATTGGATCGTCACGGTTGAAGAAGTACTGAAGTTTAAACAAGTTCCTGCAGATCGCCAAGTTGCTCTTGTGGCAACGAAATTCAGAGGCCAAGCAGCTTCTTGGTGGCTTCAACTGAAATCAACACGTGCCCGTGAAAGAAAATCAAAGATTGTATCATGGGATAAATTAAAAAAACACCTGCGCAAGACCTTTCTTCCTTACAACTTTGATCGAACCATGTATACAGGGCTTCAAAATCTGCGACAAGGACCTCGCAACGTTGATGATTATGCTGCAGAATTCTACTTGCTTATGACTCGTAATGAGATTCATGATAGTGAAATTCAAACAGTATCACGCTTTATTGGAGGATTACGACCTCAACTTCAAAACGCCTTGGCTCAATTTGACCCTAACACGGTCTCCGAAGCTCATCGACGAGCTGCTGCGTTTGAACAACAATTTCGAACTTCTTCTACTAGTTGGAATTCTTCTACCAAGTTGCGCAATTATAATTCACAAGATCAAGCTATGGGTCAGGGTTCTCAGCCTACAAGTTCAGACTCGACAACAACGGCATCTCGTACGACGGCCCCTAATAGAATCACAGCACCAATGGAAGATCACACGCTTCGTCGTTCTTCATGACCTAATGCACTACGTTGTTATGCTTGCGGAGAAAATGGTCATATTTAGACAGCTTGTCCTAAACAGTCAAAACGTAACCTTCTCATCGAAGAAATTGAGCCATCCTACGATTCATACCATGATGATATTGTGGAAGATACAACGCTCGACAGTACCGAATTAGAAGGTGATTCGGGTTTTCTTCTAGTGGCACGCCATATCTGTTTAGCACCACAAGTGTTGGAGGAATCATGGCTTCGCACAAATATTTTTCAATCCACTTGTACGGTTAAAGGAAAGGTGTGTCGTTTTATTATCGACTCTGGAAGTTGCCACAATATTGTGTCTGATTATGCAGTACGCAAATTGGGCCTCCAAAAGGAAGCACACCCATGCCCATACAAGCTCACGTGGTTAAAAGAAGGAACAGAAGTGAGAGTCACACATCGTGCCTTAGTCTCTTTCTCGATTGGAGCAGTTTATAAGGACAAGTTGTACTGTGACGTTGTTCCTATGGACGTCGGTCACTTGATTTTTGGAAGACCATGGCAGTACGATCGAGAAACAATTCATGATGAGAAGCGAAACTGTTACCGATTTGTGTTTGATAATCGGTCAATTACGCTCTTACCTAAGGATCCTTCTAGCACCGCACCTACCGTTCCCGCCACTAATCCTACTCCAACTCCAGTTCTCGATTCCCTACCTAAAGCGGCATTAATCTGCTCACGTAGTACTTTCGAGGAAGAGTTTCGCGAGACCGGCTATGCTTTCGCTTTACTTTCAACCGCCACAGTTGTTTCCAACGACAAATCTCCTAATAATGTCTTTGATCAACTCTTGGAAGAGTTTAAAGACGTGTTCCCAGCCGACTTACCAGATGAGCTTCCACCACTAAGAGATATTCAACACCATATCGACTTGGTTCCAGGAGCTACACTTCCTAATCGACCACATTATCGAATGAGTCCACAAGAACATGAAGAGTTACGACAACAAGTAGAAGGTTTATTAGCAAAAGGACATATACGTGAGAGTCTCAGTCCGTGTGCAGTCCCAGCCTTGCTAATTCCAAAAAAAGATGGTTCTTGGCGTATGTATGTTGATAGTCGTGCCATCATCAAGATTACGGTGCGTTACCGTTTTCCTATTCCACGATTCGACGATCTTCTAGATCAAATTGGTACCGCTAAGATATTCTCCAAAATTGATCTCAAAAGCGGGTATCATCAGATTAGAATTCGTCCGGGAAATGAATGGAAGACAGCTTTTAAGACGCGGGAATGATTGTTTGAATGGCTTGTCATGCCTTTTGGGTTATCAAATGCACCGAGCACGTTTATGCGAGTAATGAATCAAGCCCTTCGCCCTTTCATTGGTAAGTTTGTAGTAGTATATTTTGATGATATACTCATATTCAGCTCCTCTTTAGACGAGCATCAATCCCATCTCCGGACAATCTTAGGCGTTTTGCAGAAAGAAAGACTATTTGCGGCTAAACAAAAATGCCAATTTGGAACAGATCATGTTTTATTTTTGGGATATACGATATCCAAGGATGGATTATCAGTTGATTTTTCCAAAGTGGAATCCATCAAGTCTTGGCCTATTCTGCGCTCATTAACGGATGTTCGAAGTTTTCACGGACTTGCATCTTTTTATAGACGTTTTGTTCCGTATTTCAGCAGCATTATGGCTCCTATAACAGATTGCATGCGTGAAGGGAAGTTTGAATGGACACAAAATGCAAATGAAGCCTTTGAGATTATCAAGACCAAGCTAACAACAACACCAGTCCTGGTTTTACCCGATTTATCACTCACCTTTGAATTGCATTGTGATGCTTCCAAGTTGGGTATTGGTGCCGTTCTTAGTCAACAAACCCGTCCCGTCGCCTACTTCAGTGAAAAATTAGCTGGCGCGCGAAGTCGATATAGCACATATTATATAGAGTTCTACGTAATTGTACAAGCCATAAAGCATTGGAGGCATTACCTTTGTCATCGAGACTTTGTGTTATTCACAGATCATGATGCTCTTCGTCATCTTTATAGCCAAGTTAAAGTTTCCGCTCGACATGCATCGTGGATTTCATTTCTTCAACAATCTACTTTCACTATTAAGCATCAATCGGGCAAGTTAAATCGAGTAGCCGACGTCTTAAGTCGTCGTCATTCCCTTCTCATGACTATGCATAATTCAGTCACAGGCTTTGCTTCTTTCAGTGACTTATATGTGAGTGATCCATATTTTGCTCGTATTTAGACCGAAGTGCAGAATGGTCATCACAAAGATTTCACGTTGCAAGACGGTTTCTTATTCAAAGGAAATCAATTATGCATTCCCAATTGTAGTCTTCGTTTACGGATCCTTGACGAGTTACATTCTGAAGGACATGTTGGACGTGACAGAACACTACAGCTAGTTACGACACAATATTTTTGGCCTTCTCTTCGTCGTGATGTCGAACGTTTTGTGGAACGTTGTCACGCATGTCAACAAGCTAAAGGAAAAGCATCTAATGCTGGATTATACCTTCCGCTACCAACGCCAACACAACTATGGACTGACATTAGCATGGATTTTGTTTTAGGCCTTCCTCATACGCAACGTGGTAACGATTCTATCTTTACTATTGTGGATCGTTTTTCTAAAATGGCTCATTTTATACCATGTAAAAGGACAACGGATGCAGTACTTGTGGCACAATTATTCTTTAGAGAGATTTACCGTCTTCATGGCCTTCCTATATCCATCGTTTCGGATCATTCTTGTTTCTCTAACTTCTCGGGAACTTGAGAAACAAGTCTTTTCTTTTGTGTTTCCGCTCTATCAGACTCTCAGTCTATAATCATCCTATTAAACACGTCTACAAAAAAGAACATTAGTTGATACATAAATCAGATACGGAAAAGGAGAAAACAGTGAAGAAAGTGAGAGAAAAAGAGACATAGACAGATGAAATAGGAAAAAAACAACTTTTTGGTAGATAACTATATGCATTTGCCAATTTTAGACTCTTTTTTAGTAAATTTTATCTTCTTTGTGTTTACACTATTTTGTGTGGCTAACATTGTTTTTATGATGTTTTGATAGTTGAATCTAGCTTATTTATTGCATATTTGATGCACATAATGTTCTTAGCGAGTATTGTATGCCTCTCTAAATGTTGTAGATTGTAATTTTCTTACATTTTTACCATAAATGTAAAAAAAATGCAAGTAAGTGTGTAAGTTTTTTAAATTTTTTTCTATGCAATGTTTATACTAATTTATGGTGATTTCTTTTATAAGTGAAGATATTAAATAAGTTGTTTTCTTGGGTATCAGGCTCTCATTATTCTTATATATGGTGATAATAGTTTTATGTTTTGGGATTAGTCACTTGTTTGTTTCGGGTGATACTTGTTTATGTTTTGGAATTAATCATTCGTTAGGATGAAATTTGTCTTCCAAATTAGTATTTTGTTTTTACTGAGAAACAAAAAGTTCTAAAACGTTTTGGACTTGTCTTTATGGGCTTTGTTACTTGGACGAAGGGACTTTTGAACTCATGCATTTCTTTATGGGCTTTGTTACTTGGACCGAGCTATTAGCAATTTACAAAGTAAATGGGCCTTCGTCTTCCTTAAAGAACACAGGAGACACGTGTCATACTTGTGACAACTCGTGGAGTTGGATAAGCCACACCCAAAGTCCAAAACTCAGAAGATCCAACCGCCATTGGTCGTCCCATGGCTATCACTTGATTGATTAAGCCATCCTCTCCTCTGCCCAAATCCCTACAACAACTCTTCTTCTCTCTCCTTCTCAATGGCTGCAATCGCTTCTCTTTCCTTTCCGGCGTTGGGGCAATCGGACAAGACTTCCAATTTCGCGCCTTCTCGTCCTCTCGCCTCCGTCTCCGCCATCTTCCGGAGGTTTTCTCGCCATTCTTTGACTTCTTCGAGGGTGTCCACTTCCTCTTCGAGATCTATTATCCACTGCATGTCCAGTGTTACCGGTGAACTTACTCTCCTCTTTTTCTCTCCGTTTCCTTCTATATCGTTAGCATTGGGGCTCTACTACTTGTCGTAGCTCGAAGAATTATTCACAACTCTTGTTATGATTATCAGATGTGCCTCCTGTATCCGAGACAAAGTCAAATTTCCTAAAAGCTTACAAGCGACCCATCCCGAGTATCTACAACACTGTTCTGCAGGAGCTCATTGTACAGCAGCATTTGATGAGGTACAAGAGGACTTACCGTTACGATCCTGTCTTTGCCCTTGGCTTTGTCACTGTATATGATCAGCTCATGGATGGATACCCGAGCGATCAGGATCGAGATGCCATTTTCAAAGCCTACGTTGAAGCTTTGAATGAGGATCCTACGCAATACCGGTTAGCTCTCATTGCCGTTCCCCTCTCCTCCTCTGTTGTCTTGTTGCAAGAGGAAAACAATTTGTGCCTCCTTTTGTTTCAGAATTGATGCGCAGAAGATGGAGGAATGGGCCCGAAGCCAGACTTCTTCTTCACTGGTTGACTTTTCCTCTAAGGACGGAGAAGTCGAAGCAATTCTTAAGGACATTGCAGCAAGAGCTGGGAGTAAGGAGGGCTTCAGTTACAGCAGGTTCTTCGCAGTTGGCCTCTTTCGTTTGCTTGAGCTTGCAAGTGCAACTGATCCAACTGTCTTGGACAAGGTCATATTCTATTTGTCTAAATTCGCTGCTTATTTATGTGGTTGCATCTTCCAAACCTGCTGCCTTGTTTTTTGGTTTTGCGTTGCCTTTCTGTATCCTATCCTATGCCACTTCTGGTAGCTAGTTTTTGCTTTGATTACCTAGATGGCATTGTGAAAATGTGTTGTTATTTCTGACTTTTCACATTCTCCCCAGAGGTAATTTTGATCTGTGTGTGTGTGTCTCATGGAACAGCTTTGTGCATCCCTAAATATCAACAAGAAAAGCGTGGATCGGGACCTCGATGTGTATCGCAACCTGCTGTCAAAGCTTGTCCAAGCCAAGGAATTACTCAAAGAGTATGTCGAGAGGTATTGATGCCAAGCCCTTTCTATCTACCCTAAGCACTCTCTGTTTCAGCAAATAGCATGATGGGACTTTCGGTTTTATATTAAAAAAAAAAACAATATAGCATGGTTTCCATGGTGATCAGAAGAACTGTATGTTATATATCTAAGCCTCGTGGAACATTAACTTTGGATATTTTTGCTTCTGTTTACTCAGGGAGAAGAAGAAGCAAGGGGAGAGAGCCGAATCCCAGAAAACTAACGAAACAATCTCAAAGTGTGTGGGAGATACCCTATATATTCCATCTTTCTTGGTTGAAAGGAAACCCTAGACAATGAGTTGTGCTTTTTATATATACAGATATGCTCATTTCTAAGAACATTTCAGACATGTGTATCCTTACATGGACACGGATCTCTATCTCTTTTGTTTCTATGAGTTTGACATAAATGAGAAATGTTGATTTATGGGGTTGTAGTTAAATACATTGATTGGGGGTAGTATCGTGTCTCTCTACTCATACGAGAATTTTGTTTAAATTTGGTTGCTGCCTTCAGAGGGATTGTGACCAACCATGAGTATGTAAATTATTCCTCCTTGAAGCCCTGCCTTTTTTTATATTATTATTGTGTTCTCCCTATAAAAAAAGAAGTCAAAATGAATCTCCAAAGGTCAGATTCCATGCAAAGGAATTACAGAGACTTCACTTTTAGTAAGTTTTAACATCTAAAAGGTTCGCCTTTTGTCTGTACCCTGTCCTGCTCGCCGATGCAGCACATGGATACAGAACAGGGAACCGTGCTGCTATGAAATCCAGATACATTAACGTATCATTAAGCATGAACAAACGAAAGAAAATGAAACCAAAAAAGATGGGTACCAATCTGTACCAATTGCTGCTAGCTACCTCCTTTATGGAAGAGTATGTAAATGTGACAACAAAAAAATCGGACGGAGAGACAGGAGGAAGAATGCATAGAAACAACAGTGATTTGTCTTAACTAAGGTGAGAAATATCAACCTCGTCGGGAATCTTGAAGGTATCTGCAGCACCAAACTTTCTAAATTCCTCTTCAGCCACTGAATCGTCTTCATTATCATCATACTCTTCTGTGCCATCCTGATGGCGGGGTGTTGAAGGGTCATACATGCTTCTGGACCGGCAGTCATGAGTTGCAAGCATGTTCACTTGGCCAAGATGTGAAATCTCTACCATCACAGTTTCATCATCCATTGGCAGTGGCTGTTTCCAGGGCTCTCCATCCATCCTCATGAATGTATGGTCCGTTGCACCTTTGCGAAATTCGAAACGAATGCGGTGTGCCTATCCACAAAAGAGAAACCAATTCAATAACTTATAATTTGTATGCACTCAATCATCATATCGATATGTGTCTCTGACTCTTGGTCCGTGTGTGCCTAAAAGTCTGCCTATCACTTCTTTTTGTACAATACTTACCTGGGCAAGTCGTGTGCCGTGTCCATTTGGAGCGAGCAGGACAAGGCCGTGCCAAGCATTTCTAAACCCAACAACCTCAATGAGGCCATCATCAACGACTGGTGGAGTCAACTCTCTCTGTTGTGTCACAAGAAAGAAAGATACCTTTTATTTGACCATGGCGAAGATAAATACAGAAAATTTTGAATGTCAAGAGAACTAAAGACCTACATCGCGTTGTTTCCTGGGATTTGGTGTGCCCCAAGGATTTAGTCCTCCAGAAAAGCTGGGCAGATTCAGACATACAATGGACCTGATACTGTGAGTGCAGAAGAAACAATAGTCACGAACAGGCGTAGTTTTAACAGCATATTGCAAGAAAGTAGGCCATGCTTTGTCACATGTGAGATATAATCATATCCCTAGACTATCCAACATGTCCGTCATGAACTTCATGACAGACTTAGTGAAGTGATCCGTCAGGAACATTTAGATTGGATGAGTAAATATTACCTATGAGGTATGTGGAGGTCATGCCACTGGCCATTTTTATTTGCAATCTTAACTTTTGCAAGCTGAGCTATGTTCCTACAGAGGAAGCCATAGAGCTCTCCATTATATCGTGCAAGAGAGCAAAATCATAATATACAGAAATCAAGTTACAGACAAAGAGTGGAAATGTGGACTCCATTACCGAGAATATATAACCACCATGCGATTACATTCATTAAAATTTATAATATTAAAACTCAAACCATAAGGTACTCATAGATGCATGTTTGTATACTGATGTTGAAGAGTATTCAAATTTGTAATGGTTTTAGCACACAACGAGACCCAAGCAGAAATAAAATGAACAACATATGCAGAGAATAATCATTGGTGAGAAAAATCCATTTACTGATACTATAGCAGTATATACTTAAAGCAGAAGATGAGGCCGAAGTGTTGCAAAGAATTGAAATCATTAAAGGAAATGTCCAAGAAGCTCCCAGTCATGTGAATCATAAGCTGGGGAGCTGAAATTCGGAACCAGAAAACCGTGAAACTGAAAGAATAAAATATTCACATCTTACTCACCGTGAAGCAGGATGGAAAAGAGAGGCACAAAACCATCCTTGCGTGCAACCAAGCTTTACATACGTACTCTGCAATTTTGAAAGCGGAATGTTTATTCTTTGCTTCCACTAACAAAAAGAGAAGGTGTAATCCCACTAACAAATCAGAATCACTATTTCTTCCACATTCCAAATGTGCGAAAGAAAATCAAGCAGAAGCATACAGGGTGAACTTGTAAGAAATGGGTAAGCAGACCAAAAGCATAAGGAAACTTCAAGAACAAGGTACCTGATTAACCAGCTGATTCTTAAATTTTTCAGGGTGTAGCTTCCTCTCAGAATGAAACGCATAAGAAATTTGAGCATCCATTCCTGCAAAAGCACAATCGAACTTACAAGGGGATTCGACTTTGAAAATTGATAACCAAGATGATCCTCGACCATACTAACAAAAGAAAAGCACCGCCACGTGAATTTCAAATGTTTTTCTTTATTCAATTTTCATACAGACAATCCAATACCTTCATGGCAGTATATCAAAATAATTAGTATAAAGAACTCCGTACGGGAAACCTAACCGCCGTGCTATTATGCTTATACGACTTATCCAAAGCTAAATGGAAGCAGATGAGTATTTGTTGAAACAAAATTTATTACCCAGGCTAAAGTAATTCCAGAATCCCCCGCGAAACGTGTGGTAACCTTCCTGGGAGAGTGAAGGGTATCCATATGAGAAATGGCACAAAATGAGAAAGCTATTTCGTGGCAGGAAAAAAGGATAGGTTACCATATTTAGCTCATCAGTTGGAGAAACACGGTGAAATGCATGTAGAGAATGTGGTAACTCAAGAGGTGCAAGAGGATCACAAGAGCCTTCTTTAGGAGTCTTCATCCTCATAAGTATGTGCCAACTTAAAGTAGAGAAACGTATTCATTCACCAGTTACTCACCAAAATTAGGGATACAGTCAGACTCAGTTGTGCAAAAAGAGATAATGTATGTACATACTTGTCAATCTTCATCTCTTTCGCCTTGAACACTTTATCCAAAAACGACTCCACTGAAGTCCTATCTGTTCCTGGATTTCTCTTTCCCTGAAGAAAGCAAAACAGGCAGTAGGGACTGAGACTCGTGTGATGGTAAAGAAACATATGAACATACCCAAATTCTGAGTGTGTCACGCACCCATCCAAAAGCAAAGGGAAGGTTGTTTCCTGTACCCAAAGGTACGGTGGCAATTGGAGGAGGATGTGACAGTTTAAGGTCACATACAACTCCAAGGAGCCAGCCAGCAGTTCCATCACCTCCTGCAACCTAAAGATCAAACAGCGCTTAGAGAGAGATTATTGATGTGATGTGTGCAATTGTATACAACTCACAATTATTTTTAACTTGTCCCGAATCTGACGAGCGAAATCATCATCCTTAAGCCTCTCGAGGTTAATGTAGATTCTGCGGAGCACCTTATCCGGAGTCTCTTGCCCAAGATCAAAGACCTGAGCACGAGGCCAGCCAGACAGTGGTTTAATCCGAAAGAAGCTCCAAAACGAGATACATATACAGTATAAACCTAAATCCCTCCAAGATCAAATCACCTGCTTATCATTGAGAAGAGAGCGGTAGGTGAGGAGGAGTTCCCCACCCAACTGACCACCGCTTTTGGAGTTGATGAAGACGAGGACGGGGCACTCAGGTGGAGCGATGGGCTGTGCCAGAGGAGCCTCCTCCGACTCCGGCGAGAGGACGTAAGTAGGGATGTAGAATGCCTTGAGAAAGCCAGATAAAGTGTTGTACTTATCCATGCCGTCGTCTGACTGTAAAGAAAAGAAGACAAATGAAGAAGAATGGATCGATCCATTAGGAATTCCGATTTTTCATGAGAGAAAAATCATCAGATGGGATTCTGTGATCAACAAAAGGAAACCAGCACCTTATCGTACCATTGATTGGAGAGAGCGTCGAAAAGGGAAAAATGAACCAAAAGAAGAAGGAATCGGGATCCGAAAAGGAAATGATGAGGCCTCTATTTAAAATGATATTCTTGTCTTGTATATTAATTAATTAATAAGGTATAAAGGAGAAAACGTAGTTGAAGAAGAAGATTCATCGAAGAAGAAGAAGATTCATCGAGTTTGGTATACTTGGCGGTTTGGAGAAAGGAGGAAAGGTCCCCACGTGCGAGATTCTTGGCTGCGACGGCGGCCGCGGAGCAGTTGGCTCCCTTTTCTGACGCGGACTCAGTCGTCATGCGCCGCGTCAGGATTCATCCACATTAGCTGGGCTTTTTCAAAATGTGGCTCGTTACCGTAGTGGGCTCGAAATAGAGTTAGAAAGAAACTAGAAGAAAAATTAGGCCCAGCTAGGCTGACTGTTGACACATTTTACCTTTTTACTTTGGCCAAGTGCAGATATATGCATCGAGGGTGAGAACAATCGTGATTGATCCCAGCAAACATATATAATATTATGGTGCGTTTGAAAAAGTTGGTAGCATACTGGAAAGAGCAAGCCGGTAAAAAAAAACGAAGAAGATTATTTGGTGGAAATCGAGGAAGATCCAACACCAAGGAACGAAGCAGAAAATTGACATGTAATATGTGTAGGTGAAACTGAGACGATACTCTCACTGGTCTTGGTTGTCATCATTATTTTTGTAGGAAGTTCCTACTCTACAAGCAGTCTTTCGAAGAGTGACGCTATATGTCTCAGACTTTCTCTTTTCTTGAGATCTTCATTACAGGGAAAACAAATCGTAGTCTCTTTCTTAAATTTGACTTTGGTTTGTTTTTGATCACTCTCTCCTACATCCTTTTACATGTACACTCTCTCCTACATCCTCTTCCCCATTCTTGCAAACCTTCTGGCTACTCCAAATATCACCGCCTTTGTCAACAGCCCTTTGTCCAGTGTACATGCAAGCGCAATCGCCCCTCCCACCACAAGTATCTTTGGTATGTTTTTCCCCGTCGGCTTCTCTCCTGAAACATCTTCTGCCAAATCCCTCTCGTTCATGAACTCCTCCGCACTCACTTTGGTGTTGATTTGAGCCATTGCTGCGCTTGGTGATAAACCTTCTCCTGCTGCTTTGGCCCTCTGATATGCACGCAAGCCTGGCTCTATTTTCTTCACTGCACCCCACATCCCCTGTCTCACCCCGAGCTTTGCAATCTCCCACGGTATTCCCATATCCTCATGGTGAAATAGTAGGACCTCACACGCTGTCATCTCACCATCGCCTCTCTTCGATTCAACTGATACATATATATATCCCCATTTAGGAAGTGTAACAACAATTATATCAGAGACATCACAATCGTAGTACCTGCACGGATGCACCAGCTTGAATAGTATAAGTCGACACGCCGTGGCTTGTTTTGTCTTGGTACAGACGGGTATTGTACTCCCTGAAACAAATACAAAGTGATATTTAGAGACACATGTAAAAAAGGTACCTTCAAATCCGTCTACGTCAACAACATCTAACCAAATCCATATCCACAAGAAGAACACATTACCTTTGTAATGCAGTAAAACACTCGGCCCGCGTCCCATATACGACGGCCAATAATATATTCCCTGTCGCTACAAAAGAAGGGGAACTGCAATAATAGCGCCAGAGTTAGGAGAGAGGAGAGGAAGAAGCGAAAAAAAAACAGAAAGCGTACAAGTGTGTGTGCCTACCTTGCGCACCCATTGCACAACCATGGTGCCCGTGTCCCTGCAATCCTCCAGGGTGGAAGAGAACAAAAGCATATCATCCCACTTGGAACGGAACTCATCATCCCAAAAGAAGTCCCTCACCATCTCGGGAGTGGCATCTTCAAACACTGTTCTGCTACGGTACTGGGGAGGCCCGTTCTGGTGGCACCATCAAAAAACCATTCTTTAAATCATTCATTCAACTTTGAGCATCCATCCGTTAATACACTTGTTCACATACCTCAGGGTCTCTCCTCCAAGCTTGATATGAGAAGGTGGGAGTTGACCGGTCCATCATTTGAATCCAAGCAGGACCGCCATCTTTGACCTCAACCAACTTCCATAGATGCCTAAAATCATCTTCCGTCACGAACCCAGATTTCTCTTTCTCCGTCTGGGGAGAAGGGCTACACAGAAATACACATATCAGAGTTCACACTTGACAGAGAGGGAGAGAGAGGCAAAGTGGGATTGGGAATCAAATTACCTGTTGGGGTTAACGGGAAAAGACTGGGAATTGCTCCTGAGGATGGAAGTGGGAAGGTGAACGTTGAGGGGGTTGAACGTGAAGCTGAAGAATTTAGCTGGTACATCAGAAGAAGAGAGTTTATCACCATCTCCGGTGAGATACGCCCACTTGGGCCTCCATATCCAACCCACCAAAACTCCGACAGCCACAGCAATCCAGAGCGGCGCTACGAAAACCAAGAGGTCAGCGAAACCGAGGGTGTGAGACTCGGGAAACAAAGAGCTCAACCCCATCTTAACGCCGGGATGATCAGCGATTGGACAAGGATTGGGCCTTGCGAGGGGAGACTTAAGACGGAGATTGAAGGAGAATATAAAAGAGACAGAGAGGATAAGGATTAGGATTTGGGAGAGACGATGGGATTACTGTAGGCCCAGTTTCGTCCTTCGATGCAATCTTCTTCTCTCGTTTCGTTTCTATACACACAACACAGCACACTTCTCTGGACCAGCCGTTTTTACATTTTTATTTTTAATTCCTTTTTTTCTACCACCTTTGTGTGCCACGTGTTTTGTCATTACGACTGGTCGCCGCATCTTTTGCCCTCTCCCCTCCTCCTTTTGTTGTATCCTTTGGGTCTTTGGGCCAAATTTTCCATTTTCGATAAAAACTAAATTAGATCTGGATTGAACAAAGCCAAAGTCCGTTTTGACCCATCTGCTATAATATTAGTGTTATGAATATAATAGCTTTTCATTACTGGTATTTGTGGACTTATTTTCTAGTTATTCGTATAATATCCTTTGTAACTTTATTTCTTTGGGTCAAATTTTCCATTCTCAATAAAAACTAAATTGGGTCTGGGTTGAACAAAGCCAAAGCCCGTTTAGATCCATCTGCTACACTATTGGTGTTATGAATATAATAGCTTCTCATTGCTGGCCTTTGTGGGCCTATTTACCCAAATTTTCTAGTTATTCGTATAATCAGATCATCGCCTTTTCATTTTATATCCTTTGGGACATTATTTCTTTGGGCCAAATTTTCTATTCTCAATAAAAATTAAATTGGGTCTGTGTTGACCAAAGCCGAAGTCCGTTTAGTCAACAAAGCAGAAGCCCATTTAAATTGGGCGTTATGAATATAATAACTTCTCATTGCTGAACTTTGTGGGCCTATTTTGTTTTCAACAGTTTGTACATTTAAGCTCATCGGTTTCATTAATCGTCTAAAAACCCATTGGTTTCTACGGAACTTAAGAACTACAAAAATGCATTTTAAACACAGAAGAAATTACGTTTTAACAGAGCAAAAAAAGGCTAAGATGTACTATTATGATTTAAGCCACCTAGTCTTGATCTGAAGATGAAGATGATGTTGTTTCAGTATCTTATCCAGAAAAAGCTATTTCGATGCACTCTAAGAACTACAAAATAGAAACTAAATGGTAAATACGAAACGTCGAAACCTAAATAAAAGAAATACTGTTTTTAAGTATACTTACCCTTATAGTGGGTTTTATCACTATGTGGAGAATAAGATGATCAGCCACCTCATGGTGAACAGCATCGTGGTGAAATACTTCATTGATGTAATATTCGGGGTGAGAGTGTTACAAAGATCAGAGTGGGTGGTTTGATGGAGTCTTCACACTGGCTTTAGTGCTCTCTTGTGTTGACTGATGGATGAAAATGGTAGAACAAGGCTTGAAATCAAACCTTGAGCCGAGATGGGGTTTGTTGAATGAATCCACACTCAACTACGAAGCAAACAACTTGAATCCACAAGTTCTTCAATCCGCAAAACTCAAAGGAGTTTAGTGAATCCACACTAACACTCAAATGAAAAGAAATACAAAGATAACTCACTTTGTAAGAGAAAACTATTAAGCTTTGATTTAACTTCAATGATCAAGGGTGTGTTACAAGTGAGAACGAACTGAGCTTATATAGGCTCAAAAGTAATGCTACTCTAACGTTCTAAAAGCATATACAAAGAAACAAAAATAATTGAAACTTAATGCATATAGCCGTTGGACTTTAAATGGTGATTTCTAGCCAAAAATGGCAAGGTCTTGGTGTGCTTGATTTTTGACAACTTGGGCGTGTATGTATGATGCCTTGGTATGTCCATATCCAATGAATAATACTTCAAAACGCAGCAGAAAATGCAATAGAGCCGTTGGACATTGATTGCTCTAAGTGTGAATGCTCTTGAAGCCGGATATGGAAAGTGGTGAAGTGTGAATGGCCAAGGTAGGATCCGACTGATCCTCTGGTTGCTGGTGCAGCTAAAGACGTCTTTTGAAGCTTCTAGATGGTTGATATTGTCTCCTGGTCGCCAAAGATATGTTTGCAATCTCTCAAACTCGGGAGACTCCAAATAAGGCAAGTGTAGCATCTTCCGGTTTAGAAACTCAATAACTTTCACATCACAACCGATATTGATGTGAATCCAATTCACTCCGGTCTTCTGATGAATCAAGATTGCATAACAAGTCGGTTCGTCTCTTAATTCCTCCTGGTTCAGTGGGAAACCTCCAATAACCGCTCGCATGTCCGATTCGGAAAAGTTTCGGTTCACCCGATTTTGAACTTGAATATCTCCTTCGTATGAAATCATTTTGGACCGAATCTAATTCCTCGCGCGTCTCTGATGAGTTGAGAATCCAAAACAGTTGAATTTGTTGCTTGGTTCATCCTGGTTCGTCCGGAATGACTCGATAAGTGATCGTATGTCTTCATCGAGCTCATTGAAGATCCGCCAAATTGTATCTTCAATAACTTCTTCATAGAAAATCCTTTTTGGCTGATTATTCTTCGTGGTGAACTCTAGGTGAGTTGTGTAGGCTCTCCACGTCTTGGTTGAGTCTGAATGCATGGAGAGATTGAGGTCTAGAAGGAACAAATCATGAAAGATAGTCTCTCCTTTATTCATGACATGTTCCCCAAGGGAGATCGTCTCTCCTTTACCCTTGGCTAGACCATCATGTCCGTTGATCCTCAGCTCCATTGTTGATGCTATCCTCAATATTGCATCATACTAACTTGACTTATCTATGTGCAGATAAACAAGTTTATGCTTTCTTTTGTTTATCTAAGTTAGATGGATTTCTTTTCTTAGTAAATTTTTGATCTATGTCTCTTGTATGTGATTTCTTGAGGCTAGATTTGTGAACTTATCACATGGGCTTTCACACTTTTGAGTGGCGTTCTTCGATCCATCATTCATCAATCCGTTTATCATCTTCTGATCTTACAAATAGAGTTGTACGGCTCTTTGTTTGATCCCTATCTCGGTCCACTTCCTTCCATAGCCCATCCATTGATTGCAAGCCGAAAGAGTTGAACAACCAGCGGCCCAATCCCATCACCATACACGGTTACTAGCTTGTAGGCGTGTGTCATCCTCCGGCTTCCTCCGATTCCTCTAACTCTAAAGATGACACACGCCTACAAGCTAGTAACCGTGTATGGTGATGGGATTGGGCCGCTGGTTGTTCAACTCTTTCGGCTTGCAATCAATGGATGGGCTATGGAAGGAAGTGGACCGAGATAGGGATCAAACAAAGAGCCGTACAACTCTATTTGTAAGATCAGAAGATGATAAACGGATTGATGAATGATGGATCGAAGAACGCCACTCAAGGGTGTGAAAGCCCATGTGATAAGTTCACAAATCTAGCCTCAAGAAATCACATACAAGAGACATAGATCAAAAATTTACTAAGAAAAGAAATCCATCTAACTTAGATAAACAAAAGAAAGCATAAGCTTTAGAGAGAATTATCTTTTATTTCCAAAAATCTGTTTGCAAAGATTAAACTCAAGAAACAAGGAATCTAGCAAAGTTTACCTTGATTCTTGAACCAAAAGATGAAGTTCTAGGACGGAGAATGCAAGAGAGAAAGAAAAGATGTTTGGCAATGGGTGTTTCGCTGGATATTGATGTGTGGAGATGATGTAAGACTCGGTGGAGAGACTTATAGCAGGCGGAAGATGGGATCTATAAGCTGGCTTTCACGCTCTCTCTTACAGATCGGTAGATGGTTGATGATAGAACAAGGCTTGAATCTATAAGACTTGAGCCAAGATGGTGTCAAACAAGCTCGCTTTAACGCTCTCTCTTGTTGGACAAATGAATGGAAGTGATGGTGGATCGAAGAACGCCACTCAAGGGTGTGAAAGCCCTTATGATGAGTTCACAAATCTAGCCTAAAAAAATCACATACAAGAGACATAGATCAAAAGTTTACTAAGAAAAGAAATCCATCTAACTTAGATAAACAAAAAAAAACATAAGCTTTAAAGAGAATTTTCTTTTATTTTCAAAAATTTTTATATTCACAAAATGATTATAAAGAAAGCTTTTATAAGCTCGTACACAATCCAACCATTAATGTTTACAAGTTAATAAAATAGTAAATTAAGATATGCTAAATAAATGAGATATTAACAAATTAATGTTAATGGGTTTTCTTGGCTTGATGAGTGGACGATTGATTATTTGATTGACTATCTTCTTGTCTTCAAATATATTCCAATTAATGCTGATAGTGGATCATTATTCTTGACTAGAAGAAGAATCTAGACGCCTTTCTGCATGGATTAGATGTATTCTACACGGTGCATGATATTCAGTAATCTTCACCTCATGGACAAACTCTTTTGTTGAGTTTATAATTTTGATATTATATCATTCATGGTGAATATCCTTATAGTGAACAGTTTCTTTTTTCATGGTGAATATCCTTATAGTGAACAGATAATTTTTATCTGAGTGTCGTTACTTTGATGCAGCCATAAATTTTCACTCTCCACTTAGAATTGTCTCTGTCGAAAAGAATTGTTCACCACCGGCTTATGGAACACAGATACCAATAAAGGGAAAATAAAAAGACTTCATTTCTTAATAGAAAACAGTACACATAGACCTTTTTAAGACTCCGACAACACAATAAGGTTAAGATGGTGAAAGGGAAAGAAAGAAACTAAATTTTTTCATTGGATCCTCGTGATGCACTCTCTTCACTCTGTAAGCTTCAATCTCTTCCTGAGTAGCCTCATTGCTGTAATTGACATTGCATTTGCGTTTCCTCTCATCTTTTTCTTCCTTCTTACGCTCATCCTCATTCTTAAGAGCATTAGCAAGTGCCTCCTCGTTCAACTCCAAATCTTCAGGAACATCTGTTCCCCATGTCACCATCTTCTTCTTCTTTCCAACCGTCTTTACGCTCTCTCCAGAAGCTTCTTTGTTCTCAATGTTAGCCTTCATCAGATCAAGAACAGACTCTGCAGCTTCAATCCCAGCAGAGCCTGTGCAGTAACTGTTGCGAACACTCTGCTTGCAACATTTATATCCCAACTGCTGATCTTTCCACCATGACCCCCAAACACTAGTGTGATTGTTAGTGAAAACATCTTCATCGTATCTGCTCTTTGGTAGCATCTCAACCTCTTGTCCCTTAATAATCCTCCCTGCTCGATCATACTCAACTTGTCTCTCGCTTTGTCCAAGCAAAAGCTCCATTGGTATCTCACCTTCCGTAGCAGCTGCATTACCATACTTTCTCAAGATTGAATCCTTTGTCTGAGACTTTAGCTTTTCCTTTGCAGCCTTGAAGTTCTTGTGGAGAAACTCAGCTTGTGATGGAGCAGCTTGTGTATGCATGTCTTGCCCCTTGTCAAACGCTTCCCGTGAGAAGATGTTCATCTGTTTAAACTCTAGAGCTTGGCCACTGTTTCTACAATGTTTATCTCCAAGATAGAATTTATCATTCGGATCTGCATCTGGTAACGGATCTGCACGCATTGATCGGCCCTTTGGATCATAATGAGCCGAGTTTAGATCAAGGTTCAAAAGGTACTTCGCTGTGTCTTCTCTTATACGCAGATTCCTCACAGTTCCTGTGCTACCACCTCCCGTTTAAGAAGAAAAAATTCTTCGAAAGAAACTCGAAAATTTAATATTTTGTTGTGTGTGTGTGTATTAACACACATCTTGGCAAGAAAATAAAAAACTACAAAATTTAGTATTTTTTTTATGTGTGTTAATACACATATCTTGACAAGAAGATTAAAAAAAACTCGAAAATAAAACATTTTTTTTGTGTGTTAATACTCACATCTTGACAAGAAAAATTAAAACATTCGCAAATCTAACATTTTTTTGTGTGTTAATACACATATCTTGACAAAAAAATTAAAAAACTCAATATTGAACATTTTCTTGTGTCTCTGTTAATACAAATATATTGACAAGAAAATTAAAAAAAATTTCAAAAATAAAACATTTTTTTTGTGTGTGTGTTTGTGTTAAATACACACATCTTGGTAAGAAAAATTCTAAAACTTGCAAATTTAACTTTTTGTGTGTGTTAATACACATATTTAACAAGAAAATTATAAAAATAACTTAAGATATTTAACATTTATGAATACACACATCTTGCCAACAAAATAAAAAGAACTCAAAAATTTAACATTTTCTTTTGTGTGTGTTAATATACATTCCTTGACAAGTACATTAAAAAAAACCCAAAAAATTAAAATTTTCTTGTTTGTTTGTTAATACACACATCTTGGCAAGAAAATTAAAAAACTTAAAAATTTATTATTTTCTTATGTGTGTGTTAATACACATATCTTGACAAAAAAATTAAACAAAAAATCAAAAATTTAACAATTTCTTGTGCGTGTGTTAATACACATTGTGTGTACACATATCTTGACAAGAAAATAAAAGTATTAGTCCTGCAAACTTAAGGGGAAAAATTCCCTGAAACAAAATTTTAAGATTTAATATTTTTTGTTTGTGTGTTAATACACACATGTTGGCAAAAAAATTAAATAACTACAAAAAAATCATTTTGTGTGTGTGTTTGTTAATACACATATCTTGACAAGAAAATTAAAAAAACTCGAAAATTTAACATTTTCTTGTGTGTTAGTGTTAATAAAAATATCGTGAGAAGAAAATTGAAAAAAAAACTCAACCATTTAACATTTTCTTGTGTGTGTTAATACACACATCTTGACATGTGTGTGTGTTAATATGCATTTTTTGACACAAAAAATAAAGGAATTAGTCTAGCAAACTTAATGGGAGAAATTTTATGAAGAAACTCGAAAATTTAACATTTTCTTGTGTGTGGGATAATACACATATCTTGACAAAAAAATTTAAAAACTTGTAAATTTCACAGTTTTGTGTGCGTGTTAATACACATATCTTGACAAGAAAATTAAAAAAAAAACATCAAAAAATTATTATTATTTTGTGTGTGTTAATATACACCTTTTGGCAAGAAAATTAAAAAAATTCGAAATTTTAATATTTTTTTGTGTGTGTGTCAATACATATATCTTGACAAGGAAATAAAAAAATTAGACCTCGAAACTTGAGAAAGAAAAATTCCCCGAAAGAAACTCGAAAATTTAACATTTTCTTGTGTGTGTTAATACACAAATCTTGGCAAGAAAATAAAAAAACTCAAAATTTTAACATATTTTTGTATGTGTGTTAATACACATATCTTGACAAGAAAATTAAAAAAAAAACTCGAAATTTAACATTAACTTGTGTGTGTGTGTGTTAATAAACATATCTTGACAAAAAAAATAAAAAAAAAACTTAAATATATAACATTATCTAGTGTGTGTGTGTGTGTGTGTGTGTGTGTGTGTGTGTGTGTGTGTGTGTGTGTGTGTGTGTGTGTGTGTGTGTGTGTGTGTGTGTGTGTGTGTGTGTGTGTGTGTGTGTGTGTGTGTGTGTGTGTGTGTGTGTGTGTGTGTGTGTGTGTGTGTGTGTGTGTGTGTGTGTGTGTGTGTGTGTGTGTGTGTGTGTGTGTGTGTGTGTGTGTGTGTGTGTGTGTGTGTGTGTGTGTGTGTGTGTGTGTGTGTGTGTGTGTGTGTGTGTGTGTGTGTGTGTGTGTGTGTGTGTGTGTGTGTGTGTGTGTGTGTGTGTGTGTGTGTGTGTGTGTGTGTGTGTGTGTGTGTGTGTGTGTGTGTGTGTGTGTGTGTGTGTGTGTGTGTGTGTGTGTGTGTGTGTGTGTGTGTGTGTGTGTGTGTGTGTGTGTGTGTGTGTGTGTGTGTGTGTGTGTGTGTGTGTGTGTGTGTGTGTGTGTGTGTGTTAATACACACATCTTGACAATAGAATTAAACACGAAAATTTAGCATTTTCATAAAACCCCTAAATTCTGAATTCCCAAATTTACTTTTCCACCAAAATTACAAATCATTTTTTCGCCAAAACTCATAAATTACATTTTTGCCAAAACCATAAAGTTTCAATTTTTTTGCCATACCGTCAAATTACGTTTTTCCGCCAAGACCGTAAAATCATGGGAAAACCGTAAGATTATGTTTTCCCGCCAAAACCGTAAAATCACGAGAAACTCGTAAAATTCTGTTTTCCCAAAACCGTAATCACGAGAAAATCATAAAATTCTGTTTTTTCGACAAAATCGTAAAATTAACATTTTTTGTGTGTTAGTGTTAATAAACATATCCTCACAAGAAAACTAAAAAAAACATTCAAACTGTGGATACATAAATCTACACTCAAAAATTTGTGTGTTTTTGTAAAGGAAGAAACTTAGGAGAATTATGGGCTAGATTCTCTCGAACAGATTGACTGTATAAGCTAGCACTAACTGAAATAAGGATTTGATATTAATCGGTTGAATGAAACGGTTACAAAGATTTCGATGGAAAAGATGAACTGAAAAGTGCTCTGAGAGCAGTTATAGGTTTTTCGTATGTAAAAGTGTAGAAGAAGATCAAGCCGAAGGTCCCTCCAACTGAGCTGTTCTTTCCCTTCATATAGCTCATCTCGTCGAGCTTCAACCTCCAGCGCGTATCTCGGCCACGAGCAGCAGCTTCAGCCAGAAATCTTGCCACGTGCAGCAGCTTCCTCCACGATATTCAGACTCAATTGAACTGGCGAGAAGATGCTCTGACTTGGCTCGGATCCTTCCTTGTTTCTCGTGATTTGGTCGAGCTGGAGCTTGACCTCTCCGAACAGAACGTTTTGTTGTTTTGGATTCGTTCGTTGAGAGTGAATGGGCATGGGCCGTAGGGTCAAAGTCCAGTCAATTTGGCTCAATTTGGATCTGTCTTTTGGGCTTGAATGAGCCGGATTTAGAGTGCTAAATCCAGCTCCAACACAAACATATAACATTTTCTTGTGTGTGTGTGTTAATACACACATCTTGACAAAAAAATTGAAAAAACCAAAATTTAACATTTTCTTGTGTGTGTTAATACACATATCTTGACAAGAAAATTAAAAAAAAAACTCAAAAATTTAACAATTTCTTGAGTGTGTGTGAATACACACATATTGGCAAGAAAATTAAAGAACTCAACAATTTAACATTTTTTTTTGTGTGTTTGTGTGTTAGTACACATATCTTGACAATAAAATTAAAAAAAAACTCAAAAATTTAACATTTTCTTGTGTGTTAATACACACATCTTGACAAGAAAATTAAAAAACTCAAAAATTTAACATTTTTGTGTATGTCATAGTACACAAATATTCACTGGAAAATTAAAAAAAAATTCAAAAATTTAATATTTTCTTGTGTGTGTGTTAATACACACATCTTGGCAAAAAAAATAAAAAACTCAAAAATTTAACATTTTGTGTGTGTGTATGTTAATACACATATCTTGACAAGAAAATTAAAAAAATACTCAAAAAATAAGATTTTCGTGTGTGTGTTAATACATACATCACTGCAAGAAAAATTAAAAAACTCGGAAATTTAACATCTTTTTTTTGTGAATACACATATATTAAACAAAAATATTTAAATACTCCAAAATTTAACATTTTCTTGTGTGTTTGTTAATACACACATCTTGACAAGAAAATAAAAAACTTAGTTCTGCAAACTTAGGAAAAAAATTCACAGAAAGAAACATGAAAATTTAACATTTTCTTATGTGTGTGTTAATACACATATCATGACAAGAAGAAAAATTGAAAAACTCACAAATTTAATATTTTTTTGTTTGTGAATACACATATCTTGACAAAAAGATTTAAAAACTCGAAAATTTAACATTTTCTTGTGTTTTTGTTATTACACACATCTTGGCAAGAAAATAAAAAAACTAGTCCTGCAAACTTAAGAAGGAAAATTTCACAGAAAGAAACTCGAAAATATAACATTTTCTAGTGTTTGTGTTAATACAGACATCTTGGCAAGAAAATTAAAATTTTTAAAATTTAATATTTTTTGTGTGTGTGTTAATACACATATCTTACAATTAAGATGAAAAAAACCTTTAAAATTTAACATTTTTTTGTGTGTGTGTTAATACACGTATGTTGACAAGAAAAATAAAATAATACACACATCTTGGCAAGAGAATTATAAAACTTAAAAATTTAACATTTTTTGTGTGTGTGTTAGTACACATATCTTGACAAGTAAATTAAAAAAAACTCAAAAATTTAACATTTTCTTGTGTATGTTAGTACACACATCTTGGCAAGAAAATTAAAAAACTCGAAAATTTAATATTTTGTGTGTGTGTGATAGTACACATATATTCACAAGAAAATTAAAAAAAAAACTCAAAAATTTAATATTTTCTTGTATTTGTTTATACACACATCTTGGCAAAACAATTAAAAAACTCAAAAATATAAGATTTTATTGTGTGTGTGTTAATACACACATGACGGCAAGAAAATTTGAAAAACTCGGCAAATTTAACATTTTTTATTTGTGAATACACATATCTTGGCAAAAAAATTCAAAAACTCAAAAATTCAACATTTTCTTGTGTTTTTGTTAA